TAGCTTTTTAAGCCCCCTCACCTTATATAACCATGCTTTGAGTTGTGAAACTTTTCTTATTTTTTTTATTATTTTTTGAAGATAACACTACAGGTAGTACACTGGAATAGGGAGGTCTTCCTCTTGCCTAAATAGCTTTTTAAGCATAACATTCACAATGCTGCAACCAAGTGTTTTACACACCAGACAGCCCCTCTCACATAATACAACCTTGTTTTGGGCTGTGAAACATTTCTTTTTTTTAAGATGAGTTTTTGAAGATAACACTACAGGTAATACACTGGAATAGAAGGGGCCGTCTTAATGACTCAGTAGCTTTTTAAGAATAACATTCCCAATGCTGCAACATTCACCAGACAGCCCCTCTCACATAATACAACCTTGCTTTGGGTGGTGAAACTTTTCTTAATTGTTTTATGATTCTTTTCCTCATTCGAGTGGGCGTGGTTTTCCAACACGTGTGGGAGTAATCGAGCATGTTTTCAGAAGCCCCCACGAGTTACACCTTTCAAAATCCTTTTTAGTCCATGGCCATCAGGGTAATCAGTCAGTACATCTAATCCTTATTAGTATTTGAGGGGCGGAGGAATGCGAATGAAAGAATTCAGAAATATGTAAGCAAACTGTGGGGTCTTAGCAGGACACCTACTGTTCTATTACCCGATTTATCTTAACATTGCACCAAGAAGTCAAGATTTACTTTCCACTCAATTTACTACCATTGTACTTTTTATTAGTCGTGCTGCTGATGTGTTCATTTAAGAAGTTACAAGAGCATGAGAAGGTGTAGCCCCCGGCTCGTGGAGTCTCGGGCCCGGAGTCTCCAATTCGCCTACTTCTCCATCCTCTCTTATCTGCTCCGAGACCATGCCTCGCGTTCCTCACATCGCCGAGCCCTTCACTCATGGTTTCCCGAGCTCGATGAGCTTTATCTCCAGCTCTCACCCTCTGGCTAGTCTCCCTCAGGAACTCATTCCATCCCGTTTGACCAGTGCAGCTCAAATGTCTTTTTTGCCTTATCAGCTGGCCGACACGGCAACAACCAACCCACTCCTCAAGGCCTTCCTTGCACCTTAATGACAATTTTTTAAATACAAAGGACTCTATTAGCAAAGCATGTTTCTATAGTGGGTCTGCAGCAGTGCCTTTCTCCTTTGCGAGACATCAACTGAGAACACCATTCTGATCATAGGAGGCATTGATCAGTGTTCTGATGTAGGAAGTCAATTATTAATTTTTATATGTATAAAGGAATAAATAAATCATAATGAAATCATTATCCCTTTCACCTAATCGATTTCTGAAATAGATTGAGGTATGCCGAAAGGTTTAGAAAAAACACCCTCCTAATAATGTTCAAGGAAAGGTTATGAAAGCAATGCTGTAGAATCCCTAGAAGGCTGTTATAGGAAACGTGCATTTTGGCTCAATTTTGGCTCATTTTGGCAGCTGAAGCTCTACAATGGCGAATGGGTCAATGTCCACACTGCATCTGTGACATGGAGCAAAACTAAGTGGTCTACATAGTGATCGTCTGACCTTCTGTCATGTCCTTGACCCTGAACTTGTATACAGCCGTTACCTTTTATGAACTATCCTCTGTGGTACCATTGGATGATCTCAATGCTTTGACTGAAGGTCAGTGAGAATAGTAATTATATATTCAGGGCTAGTGTTTCTTAGTGAACAGTAAAACCTGCAGGAAAATGTGCTACAGTATATATTAACATGTATAGGTGGGGATGTACAGTATACTGCTTGTATCTATACAGATAATTCACACCTTGCACTAATCAAGGAGTTTCAGATGCAGTTGTCACACCTGCAGCGATGGGCGTAGATGGCTGTTGGGCAATTTTCCCATTTACCATTCCTTAGATTTTATATAATTACTTCATGTATTGTGGGGGGCTGGAATGTAACTTAATAGAATGCAAGGGATTTTACAAAGCTTGCCTTAGTGTCAAGGTTTTTTTCACTTTATACAGTATATATCATCCCTACAGCATACCAATTGAATTGTTACAATTCTGCATGAGTGTCAAAGCCTGCTTCAATTGTAGGCAATAGCTGACCATGTTTCTTTACTTTTTTCTTAAGAACGACACTACTTTATACATATCTACTTTATAGTAGATCATAACGTGTGAGTTACACATAGTTGCCATTACAATTCTCCTGCAAGTCCTACACAGTTGAAATTATGTGCCATTTGTACACACTGGTGGCCACTCTTCTTGGTCACCTTTACACAAACCAACAAGTTTGCACTAAAACAATGTCCACAGCAGTCAGAATAACACCATCCAAAACGTATACAGGAAAGCTTTAAATTACACATAGGTGCCTATATCCACACTGTACAAAAACATGTTTGGACTTGTAGTAAGTTGAGCTGTTTTTAGTTTGACCATTAGAAGCTAAAGCCTAATGATGTCAGCTGACGGTTAAGGAACAGAAGGATGCAGAAGACTATTTTAAAGCAGATGGCTGTATGCGTTCCTCATTTGTTTGGTTTCCTAAGCTGTTTTAGTCTTTCTGTGTAGGACTTGGGCAGAACGGTACACATGGCCATGAACCACTAATAATCCAGTATGTTTAATTTCCTGTGATGAGATTCTAGCATACTAACACAACCCCAGAGAAGACACTCTGCTGGGTCTAATTAAACTCTTGGGTTATGTGTGTGCAGTAGGTTTTAATCTTTAATGCCATGGAGAATGAAGGCACTAATTCTTGGTGGATTCGAACAATTACTGATTTACACAGATAACGATAATTCTTTTATACTGACATAATTAAATAAACCAACAGGTCATTTAGATTCCTTTCTCGTATTTATTCTTTTGTTATGTAACTTTATCCTGCTGCTTAAGCCATTCAGCACTGGTCTGCCAATCACATTTAAGTGAAATCTAATTTACAGGCTGTTCTATGCATCATAATTTGCAAAACAAATGAGAATGGATGCTGCCCACTAGATATAATCAAATTCACTAATTGCTGGAGAAAATGACTTACGATCTTGTCAAGACCACATCTGATAACTGTTATTATGTGTCAGTCTTCAAGGTCAGTAATGGAGCACTATATTTTTAAATTCTGTTATAAAATACAATATACTATAGTCCAATAGTGGATACTTTCCACTTCCCAGTAATGAATAAGACCCACAATGTATATGTTAATCTCAATGTTGCATTTTCTATCTTTCTGTATTAGCAAAAACACACTGATCTAAATCCACAGCTACGTTTTGTCATCAAAAATTGAGATTAACCTTTTAATTTCAATTCTAGGCTTTCTACTTCTTTTGAATTACAATCTCACATCTCACTTTAGATACCAGAATGAAAGCCCACCAAAGGGACAATAGAAAGGAATAAATATGACCTTTCTTCACAGGCAGTCCAACAACAAATGCCAAAGTGAGAAACCTACCCCCCAACAAGCTTCAGAAATGTGTTGAATGGCAGATGTTAAAGAATTTCAGAGATTAAGTCATGGGAATCCAGAGTATTTTCAAGCAAAAAGGCTAAAAACAGAATGAAATTGGTACTGGAAAAAAAGAAGAGGATAGTGTTGCCTGCGGAGTTTGAAATTATTGGAAAACGTACCCTAAAAAGGGGGAAGAACCAGAGGTGAACTGTACCACAAAATCACAAAAAGACTGAATAACATTCCACAGTGGACAGTAAATGTCGCCACTGAGATTCAGTAGACTGGAAGCAAGCTTGATTTTTCTAGTTGCCAGAAATGCTCTCTCGTGGCTCCCAATCCCACTGAAACAGAGGTTAGAGATTAATCTTCTCCAGTCTTACCCAGCATTACATTACAATTGAGAACGTAATAAGGAAGGCAGGGTGATAGCAGGCTGCTTGAGTAGATATCACACAAACACAAGCCCCTCTCAGAATTTAGACTCCCTCACTTACTTTGAGTGATACTAAGACTTAGAAGAACCTTATTTTGCCCCACAAGGAACTTTATTTGTGTTCGCTGCGTAAAATTAAAAACAACATGAAAGCAAATCACTCTAACTGCAGTCTAGTCTGTTATATTTTCCTTCAGGTTACTAAATTATACATAACAGACTAATTATAAGGACACTGGTGAAAAGGGGGAAGGAGGTAAGAAGAAAAGTCCGTAGATCTAAGCATCTCCTCTTTTATGGTTGAGAATGGGATGCAGGGAAACCCTAAGAATTCAACAGCCTAATGAAAGCAGGCATAAATAGACTCACTTAGTCTTCATAGGCAGGGACCATACTGTATCTTGTAGTCAGTAAAAAGGCTTACTGACTACAGAGGGGGTGATGGCATTGCCCTTTTTATTTCTTCTTAAATAATGTCTTTAAGACTATACTGTCTAGTGCCCACTATTTTGCTACTGAGAGATACCACTCTCTCCAACCTATTTTGGTTGAGATAGTAAGAGACCCAAACCACAATGTGATGCAGAATGTCTTCTGGGTAGCTATTTTTGGAGAATGGCACATCTCTCAAGAAGTCAAATGTAGACTCACTCCCACTTGGAGTGTTACTCCTCAGGACGCCCAAGCACAGAGCTGATCGACTTGCTGTTTAAAAGGAATGAATGAGTTACAGAAACACATTTTCCTTGACAAAAACACCTCTCTAGAGCAATATGACTCATACTCAGTAAATACCCTTTCCTGATCTCCCGTCTTTTAGTACTGTAAAAAAAGTATTCAGCACTCCTGTGCTGAATATCAACTCTAAACAAAAAAAACACTAACCCAAAACCCACAGCTAGCAAATATTAAGTGTAATAAATGTGTTCATGTTGTTAAGATCATTTTTCAAAATAAAGATAGAGACAATTATAAAAAAATATGTTTTTAATCTTATATATGAGCTTAATTCAGAAGACATATATTTGAGGTAGATGTTTTTTGGTAACAGCAGTCACAGACAAATTAAGAAATGCTCCAAATGTCATCAAAAAGAGGACAGAAAGAATAAAAATCAAAGACAGGCTAGAGATCAAAGAAAAGTGTGACATTTTATTGAAGATGAAATTTAAGGTTAAAACAGTTGACATTTTCTTTGGTATAAAAGCACGGCATCACAACGCCGGATAAAGGATTCAGTGACAAAGGTTTAGAGAACAGTTCTTGCCAGATGTGTCATTAAAGAACAGAAACTGCCGAGTAGTGACTTTGTTTCTGAACCCGACTCTGGCTAATCAAACAAAATCAAAACAGAAAGAAGTGTGGATCTTTCAGTGGATGGTTAAAAGTAAATAAGGGCAATGAAAAACCGTAGGTACTACGACAAGATTATTACAAATGGAAGGAGCTTGCTTTCTTTTCTGCTAAAAGGCAACACCAAATTGTCATCATATGAAACCCACCAAAAGAATAATCTTATCAGTGTAACACTTATGTCAGCCATTTAAAAGTAAGATTGGCCTTGAAAATACACAGCTGCTGTCCTAGTTTATCCCAACACAGTTTATGCATAGGTAAACAAGATAAATATGTGTACTGGAAATTAAAACTATAATGAAATCATGGTGAAACAAAAAAATGCATTTTTGTTAACTTGTGATTTTAGTGTTTCCTTTCATTATATAACCGAAGCGGACGGTTTTTGAGAACAGCAATGACATGTTTTTACACAGTTTGGGATTAAAATGGCGTTTAAAAAGGAAGTGAGCAACTTGGGAAATAAGAATCCTCCAATTTGCTAATTCAGCAATAAAAAAATCTCTGATGGTAAAATACTGAACAAGAGCATAAGGACTGAACAGCTGTGGTCATTAAAAGGTTTCAAGCTTAATGTTTCCAGTTCAGTGCAGTTTTCCCTGACTGTTTTAGATTCTTCAGGGTTTGCAGACCCAATGCACTGTTCAATTTTGGAGAAAAAAAAGTCCTAGAGAGTTCAAAGTCCAGGCTATACAATACCTAAATAATCTTATTTGACTGTCACAATTGAGGTACCATGGATAGACTCCATTACAGCCGCAAACCTACTGCACAGATCATGTGGCGAGTTTGGCCGAATCTTTGGGGGTTCCTTAAGGACGATGATTTCTGCCGAGCAGTCGAGCATTCTGGGCAGGAACTCTCCAAGCTTTTCTTGCAGGGCATCTTTGACATGAAAAAGAAAAGAGCAGAGCATGAACTGACTTAGACAGCTCAGTCAACATGCAAGGGCACAGTATGGCGAGGATTTGTTTTCAGCTTTCAGAGAATAAAATGTGTAGAAACGCAACAGGAGCCAGAAACACCGAGTGAAACTGTGCGGAACCCTGTACACCAGTTTGAGGCCGTTGTGGAAGCGGAAGGTAAAAACACAAGCAACCCTCGTGAGTGTCTACTTACTAACTTACTACTTATCAACCACGTTCTACTGAAGGGTTTCATCAAAAAAACTTCAAGGTTGCAATGAGTATTTCACTAAGACAATAAAGAAGGAAGAAACCAGGTAACTTCAGTATGCTTTGCACAGATCAATCTTGGAAAAGAACATGGCGCCTGACTAACCATTCATATCCTGGCCCAGGTAAGAGCACCAGCGGTTCCTTATGGTCTCGATGGCGTCCAGGTCCTCCTGGTTGATGTCATTGCTGATCATCAGGTGCATGCAGGGAATGACCAAGTCATTCATTATGCTCACCCCCTCCGTGACATCACTCTCCTCTCCACTCCGGAAAAGCTTTGCAGCAGCCTCATTCAGCTCCTAAGCACACAGAGAACACCAAAGGTGTCACCCACTGCGGGACGTCTTGACAGCTACTGATAAGAGTTTAACTAACATTTACTTATGTGAAAAACAACAAATCAGGCCCTAGAGTGGTACTGTTTTCCCTCTAAGTGCTTATAAGACGTTTCAGCTAGCTAATTTCAGTTCAGGAACAAGTAAAGGCTTATTCCATGCTGAAAAGAAAATAAAAATGACGCAATATTTTGGCTGTGGAACTCCTTTTCAGATTCAGGACCTGGAATAAACCTTTACTTATTCCTTTGCAGCTTGTGCATGCTGGCGCAGCTACCTTCTCAAACTAATTTCAGGTCACTTGTGTACTATTATCATGTATCTTACTTTATGAACAAATGGCTCTTCAGTCTTCCAAAATAAGTCTCCCAAATTTACAGTATTTACCAGAAAAGTCTGGGTGTGGCAGAAAAGCTGTAGTGAGGGTGGTAGCTGCAACTGACCTAGAGCCACTAGAGACTGTTAAGGTCTTTATTGTCTGTACATGGGTTCGTATGAGGTGTATTGGTTAATTAATTAATTGGTGAAGGGCAGAGAGCCCTATTCACCTGGGGTTTATCTCGACTAGTCTGGTATTTAAAGGGACTGACAGTGACAGCTGATGTTAGGATGCAGTAGAACAAGTCTTTGTTTAAGGTGAGCATCATACTTCTGCTGAATAAAATCTCCTGGCACAATACTGTTGCAGTCCATCGTGGTCTAACAGACACCTGCTTAGAGGGAGGCCTGCCACACTGAGGTTATAACGTAGTTATACAATTTTGGAAGCATTCTGTGCCCACTTTATCACACCTTTCCATTTGTTTTGTCTAACTTGGTTTCCCACGGCTTCTTGTTAGATCAGTTTGGTGGAGGCACAATTAAAGTATAAAACAATGTCAAACGGCACTCACTGTTAAACATTTCCTCCTATAAAGTGCAATAAGTGACTCCTCCATGCCTCTGTTCTCCCCTTTCATCAGCAGGGCGGTGTTGTTCTGATAGGCATAGACAAGGTAGTTCAGAGCTTCCCGTAATCTGGAAAACAAAATCATCACAACACGCTGACTGACTGTCCAGTTGCACCACAGCACAAAAGTATAAGCCGAACACAGGCTATTAACATACTTTCCATTCTGGTATTGCTCTAGCCCTGTCAAAAGATACACAAACACCTTCCGAAAGACGCTGTAGTCTTCATGCCACTTCTGCAGAAATGAAAAACACACAGGGTAATATGAGTGGTAAGAGCCAAACAAGCAACACTGGTCATCACACACACAAATGTGACTGAATGAAACAAGTGTAGCCTACAGCAAAACTTTCAGTGATAGGCAAACAGATTCCAGACTCCTAAAGCAGACCATCACTGGGATACATTTTTTCGTTACAAAAGGATTAAAGACTGAGTTTGTTGTGACCTACAGAACAATACCGACTTTATTTTCATGCAAGCCAAACTGGACTAAAATCTTCACTAAAAAGAATGATACTTTATCCAAAGGCAGTGCATGTACCACATTTACCCTGTTACACAGAATCAAAGGCAGAAACATGCCAGTCTAAGTGGTCAGTGTAGCTTCAATCTGGTCTCACCATATACTCCTCCATATCCATATCTTCTGGACGTATCAGACGCAGCTTAGCTCGAGCCTCCTTCATTATACCGATTGATCTGAAAGACAAGGGGATGAACAGGAATATGGGCATGGCAGCCAGAAAGCATAACCGGAACTAGGACCCTCAATCACATGCACACATTCATGGACAGACAAACGCCTAGTTTCCTGCTGTTCACTAACAATTTCGTGGATGCTGCACACTGGTGGTGGTGGAGGGGAGTCCCCATTACCTGTCAAGAGCTCTGAGTGGAGTGCCCAGAAAAGCGCTAAGCTATAAGTTTAAGCAATTATAATAATAATAATTATTATTTATTATATTTTCCTCAACAGATGTAAGCATAATTAAAAATGCATGTATTGTGAAAACCTGTCACATACAGGATACTACCTTCATGCCCACGTTAGACATCCCACTATGAATAAAAGCATGCATACACTGTTGAAGAAGCAGTCTGTGACTAGTATATTCACATCTTATTGAAAGTTCACTGAAGAATTCAGAAGTCACATACATTAACTGCAAACACAACGCAGGCATCCTGGCCAAATGTCCCATTGGCCTTGACCAATCATGGCCTCCTAATAATCCCCATCTCTGAATTGGCTTCATCCAGGTGGGGCTGCACACTGGTGGTGGTGGAGGGGAGTCCCCATTACCTGTAAACCTCTCTGAGGGGAGTGTCCAGAAAAACGCTACATAAGTGTAAGCAATTATTATTTACAACACCAGTTGGCAAGGATTACTTGTCTAAGGAATGTGAGGTCACTCCCCCGCTTAAGAAAAACTTTGAATTCAGGGGTCAGGTGACAGAATGGTGCCTTGAGCTTTGTGAGTTCTTTTCTCGGCCACTGTTGCAGGTTTCTCAAGTGAGCCGCCTTGCCTCTCATCGTAGCTCAGGTTGCGGTCGGCAAACTGCTCCAGCAGCGTCCTCTCAACGACGCGCTTGGGGGCGTCGTTCTTGAAGAAGTACACCAGGACGTGCTGGAGACGAGGGTCGTTCTGAGGGGTGGACTTCTCCTGCGCCAGAAGGAACAACCGGGAGTATTCCTCGTGAAAAGCCTGGAGCGGCAAAGGAAAGAAAAGAAAAAAAACACAGGTAATTGCCCTTTTAACTTAACAATGCTTTAATGCGAGAAGAAAAAAAAGGGCTGGAAAACATCATGACTGGACAACCGCGTGACAACTAATGACCCGGTAACAAATAAAAATCTACTGATTTTATCCAAACCCTGTGAAATTAGAAAAGGGGCCTCCGCCACATAATCCACTTTAGTCCATTACTCTACCTTAGCAACAAGAACAAAGAAAGAGTACTGCACAGTGAACACACCATTGCAATAGGGGAAGATGATGGGAATTTTATTACTGCTCCCAGAGCTACTACAGTAAGTCAACACCTGGCTGAAGAGAAGTCGAGCAGGTGAAAAATACCTTAATGAGAGCAGCCTCAGGACCGTCCTTGTCAAAGACCTGCCTTGCTTTAGCAATGGCCAGGATAATCCCTTGCATGGCTGGGGTTAGCATCATCTGCCACAGGGGGGCAAGAGGAGGGAAATAAAGAGAAAGAGAAGCCAACATCTAAATGCTAATCATATGACGCTACACTACAAAAACATCAATAAACCATTTTACAGAGGCGCACAATATTAGTAGAGACAGATAGACAGAAACAAGAAAACCACACAACCCAAACAACTACACATCCCTAAAACGATATCCCCTAGCACCCTAAGCACTTGGATAAATGATATAACTGGGTGTGGAAAAATAACTGCTTGGTTTGACTGAGCCATGCTGAACGTTTTATGCCAGGCCTCACGAGATAATTATTTTCCGAGAATGATTATTTTCATAATATTTTTTAAATATTCCTAAATAAAATAAAATCAACTTCTGCCTGTGCAGAACATTTTTTTGTTAATTTTGAAATCAATTCAAGACCTCTGTGTTATACATGTGTATGATTTTGCTTATGTCCCACTTATTACAATACAATACATATCTATTGTATTAGGTTATATTCCATGCATGCTTTGTCAACCAGTTTACTTCCTAGACCTAAGTAACCTACAACAGTTCAGTAACTGTTCTGAATGTGTCTCATCTTGGATGAAGCCTTCAGCCAAATACTATTAGCTACTTCCATGCGTGTTATAACATGGATGCTTCTGAAAGTTGTCAATACAGCACAATACACATAAAAGTTAAAACTTAGGGCAAAACGTGTGTCTTTTTCAGGCATTCCGAACTAGTGAGATTTACATGCAATGATTTATACCTCCTCATTGTAACCATCTGCATCAGAGCAGACAAGAATCTTCCCTACACTCGGAATTTCCACCTCGGACACCTGGCTCTCAGGCTCCCTACTGCCTGCCTCCGGAGGCTGCTTCAGCTGGGGCTGGGCCTCAGTTTTAGAGTCAGCTCCGGACTCTCCCTCAGCAGCACTGCCTCCGGCCCCTGTCTCAGCCTCAGAGGCCTGCCACAAGGAACGTCGCCAAAGGAAGAAAAATGCAGAGAGGAAAAGATTTTAATGGTGGAAATGAAGAGGCCATATTGTAAGATACACACAGAAACAAGGAAATTGCATGCCCACCAATTACAGACTGATAATCTGATACTGAAATGAAGAATATCCTCTGACACCCTTGATCACAGCCCAAATTATATACTTGTAAAAAGCATTTTAGAGCCGTGCGGAGAGTAGTATAACATGACTCACAGGGAAATCAATTTACAAAGAAATGCAAAAATGTATAATGTATGAACACAACAGGGACACCGAGCTTTGCCTAGCAAACAAATGTTTTTTTTTAAAGTGCTCTGCAACCATATCTAATTTTCTTTAGAAGTATGTTAATGAATTTAGTGCCAGAATTTAATTGCTCACCAAGAATCACAAAATGTGCTGAAGTCCTGTTTAAATCAGACAACGGAAATCAACATTGTATTGTATTTTGGTTAAGAGGAACAAGGGAAAAAAAAAAGATTATCTGATTTTTAACCACTAGGTGTCACATTACCACTATTAATCAAACAAGCTGTTTGCTGGGGGAAATTGCACTAATAATAAAGCCTGTCCATTTTTATTGGCTTTTCTTCAAAATTAAGAGCAAGTTAAAGTAGAGGTCAAACACCCAGTTATGTTCTATCTCCTTCCTGGTTTAATTTAGTTATAACTTTCATTTATTTTTAACACTTTTTTTCTTTTTACTTTCATGTGTCCAGTCCAGGTTCACTTTAAAAAATAAAACAAATCAAGTGGTTAGACTACCGCTGAGAGTGACAGACTCTTCACTTTTAATAATAGCCACCTACAGTATCTGACCGATATCTGAGCATCTGTCTTTTGCCTTAAGCCTTTCTATTTTTCAACGTATTTGCCTGTTGAGAGACAACGTATTGTTTTCGATACACAGTTTTTGGCTTTCAGTGCCACAGTGTCTCCTCTGGCCTTCGGGACATTTGCAGGGTAACACTCCTGTACTGAACCTCCTATATAGGGCTGCACAGCCTGTGACGTGTTGAAAGACAAGTGGCTCAAGGGTGAGCAGACCAGAGGAAGTAGGGCAGACTCCTCATTCTCCCCCGTGTGCTATTACAGGTTTTGTAGCCAACTGGCTATTCCAAATCCGGTAGATCCAACAAAATGACTTGGTCATTCTACAAAAATATATGGACGAGTTGCTGCATTACCCTGTCAAAAAATTAAATAAATCTTGCTTGGCCGATAAGAGCTAAATGATCCAAGGATTTTATCCTGCTGTTTCAAGAAGAAGCCAGGCTATCAGCTTCGACAATATGGTTGGGTAACCTGTTATAGACTCCTCCACCCCTTTGTAAAAAATAAAATGCCTCCTGTGCAAAGTTTTAGATTGGTGGAAATAGAACATCTAACTTTCTTTTATTATGAACTGTCATTTTGCCCAAAATGTTTGACCCTCCCCTTAGGTTTAAGAAACATCATCAGTGGTACACAACATGAGTTTTCCTGGAACTCAAGACCTGGTGCAGCTAAAAGTAAAGAATTAAACTAATTGAATCTGCTTTTTTCTGAATAAATGAATGTTCATTCGGTAGCAGAATTTAGACATTGCCAGAGCAGCCAAGTATAGTTTTTATGGAGTTTTTTTTTTTAAAAAACATGGCACATGCCACTCAAATGTATCTTGTGTGTCACTCATGGCACACAGTTTATTGCCAACCCCTGTTCTAGACAAAGATGAAAATGACAGAAACACAGACAACTAAGTCTGTTCGGAATGGGATCCTTCACATTAATTCCCACTGAAACTCTGAGCACAAAAAGCAGCAGGAACTAAAATATTCCAGATTGCTAAATGCAGAGTTTACCAGTGACAATGGGTTCAATTTGTGATCAACAAGAAACAGGTTGGTACTGTGATAGCTGGGAATAAAGCGATCATGAGCTATAAAAAGCTGAATAGCTCATTGTGAAGTACTTCTAAAAGATTATCCCAGCCTGCCTGCACCATCACATCATCCAGTACACTACAGGAATGTTAAATAGATGACTCACATTCAGTGTGTGTCCTATCTTATCTCTTAATAAGGTGGCAGTTTTCTGAGAAACCTCCACAGTCCCATGGCAAAAACACAAATATCTATTTTGTTTATAAATGGCCACGAAAAAACTAAACAACACATTACTGGTAATATCACAGACTGTCTTAATACGTTATTCTATTCTTGTCAGCTAGGCAACCTTAGGAAAAACAAATATTGTACATAAACTATAATAATATAGAAGAGTAGAGGTCTTCTACTACAGGATAAAAACTCTTCTTTACTATCGAGAGGCATGAAAATATCGTTCAGGAAATATTTGAGAGATACTAAGTAAAAAGCACATCATCATTCACTGTACTGTTTGGAGATGCGTCTGAAGGCTTCTCTATCTCTGAAATGCAGTATGATACTTAGGCCTTCACATGCGTTTTAGATAGGGAAACCTTGTTTGAGAGCTGGGAGCTAGTTGCAGCTCCATCGTCTGATCACTGTACCAGGGATGCTTTGCAGTGCTTTAAAAATCGGGGAAAAAAATTACATTCACAAGTTTTGGCTGAGCGAGGACGTTCATTCTGTCTGACCACTGCTCTCGAACTGCGTCCCTAATGAGCTCAGCATGCAGTGCTTTACATTGCAGGCCAAAGTCCCAAAGCTCTGGAATTTTATCTCCCAGGATATCAGTATTCCCGAATGCTATTTTCTAAAGGAACTATATAAAATAAAGTTTAGTGTAATAATAATAATAATAATAATAATAATAATAATAATAATAATAAATGGCCTAGGTCCCCTGTCTGCACATCAGGCTCAGTTCTTCCTCTCTGTCTTATTCTTTCCAACACTATATTCCTACATGCAACGTATTTGCAAGAAAACTCAATAAAGGAACTTCAAGGAAATACAAGAACAGACCTTGCAACATGACAGACGCTGTCTGAAGCACCGGCATTTGGATGCTGAAAGCTGACGTACGTGTGATAAGAGTGGCCTGGCCAGCTGTCTTTGAAACCCCCACCAGTCTGTATATGGACACGCAGGAGACACCTCTTCTTAATAAAATGGATGGCAACAAACCTATGGACCTGTCTTGGTCAACCGCCCACAGTAAATCACAGAAATCACACGCTTGGCCACCTTCAAGGATCTTTTCGACTTCTGAATGCTCGGATTGCATCTTTTATCTTTTAACAAGACAAGAAAACACTGCTTCTGCGACCCGCCCCACACACCCCTAACCTCTGTGAGGGCGGCTTCCACTCCCTTCTTTTCATAGCAGTCGGCCGTGTTGGCGATGGCCTGTGCTGTCTGCTCCTTCACGATCATGGCGTGTTCCGACGACAGGGAACGAGGCGGCTGCTGGCTGGGCGGAGGTTCTTACAGAAAGGAGAACAAGACTGCTTTTAACAGACACGCATGGCGCTTGCTCAGCAACTTCTGATGGTTAAGCCAGAAACTGAATACTAGATTGTATTACTCGCCTACGCCACCGTAACGTAAAACCTGACAACAAAATAAGGCAGACATCTGGCAGACTTCACATTTCATATATTTTCTTCCCAACACTAAGAGTGGCATTTGCCTTTAGGATTTGATATTAAACAAACTGAATCCTACACATGGTGCGTCAAAAGTCAAACAAGACGAGTCACCCTGAGTGGGCAAAACAGACTGCGCGTTACTTTCGATGTTCTTGACTGACCTTCAGGGACCGATTCCGAAGAAGATTCTTGCGCATCTGTTGCTACAGGAATGAGGGATTCTTTCTGAGGCATTTTCCGGAACTGCTCCTCTTCCCACTCCTCCACTTCCTGCTGGAACCAGTGGTTGTCCTCCCGGACATACTGCCTAAGGACTGGAGGGAGGGAATCCATCCCCCCTAACACCTGGCCTGTCTCAGCATCCGTGTCCTCTGTGGCACACAATGAGAGGGGCTTTTAATAAACACACAACAGTGGACACAGAATCACTGTTAACTGTCCAAACGGGACTCCCGAGGGGCTCATCTAGTAACGGTGCTCAGTTTGAGTGCAGGCTGAACTCTATCACTGTGGTGTTGCTGGGTCGAGCCTGGGCCACGTCACAAGCTGACTGTGACCAGCAGTCCCAATGCAGAAGCTCAAAACGTGCGGAAAATAGCTGGGGTTGGCGTCTGTCTGCCCGGGTCCTCTCGGCTTTTGGTGTTAACAGCCTGAACTGTAATGTTTCTCCAGTGTTTTCTCAGATGAATAGCTCAGACAAGTAGGTGTATCAGAGGAGCATGTCTATCGGTCTTTATTGTTCCTTTGGGGTTAAGGAAGTCTCTGCAGGAGAGCCAAGTCTGAAGCCAAATGGCAATTCCAAAAAGAAACCAAACAATGGACAATTTCAGAGGCCAGTTCCCCACCTTAATGCTCACTGTGTTCTCACTATGCACGCTTACACTAACAGTGGCAGCCTTTCACATCTGTGCGCAAGCCAAGGACTCGATCTGTTGTTTGTAACATGGAGCGGGCTGTGCTATTACCGGCTATGAGGTGAGGGAGCATGTCGTCGATGTACATGAGGCAGTAAGCGCTGGCGTTCTTCATGCCGCCGTAGGAGTCCTTCTCCAGCTCCTCCCACGTGGACTCGGAGACGGAGATGTCGTTGTACTTCAGCCACAGCTTGCTTGAGTGGTCACAGATGTAGGCCCAGTAGTGACCAGCAGAAGCTTGACCCTCGTGGACAAGGACAGCGTGAAGCCTGTAGGGCACCTGAAGGGACACAGCAAAATGAGAAGCAGCCTAAATCACCTGGACAAGGGAGAATCTGGATACTGTATCTCATCCAGTTGCGTCAGATCTCCTTAGCCCATGTGTGAATGAAAACAAAAACCTTTAAGCACAACATTAACTGGGAACCTTTGTTAAGTACTGGCCAAGGCTGTGTGTGCATTTCCCAGCAAGAGCTGGAAAAGAGTGAGATCTATAACCCTGACACTGGAGGGCACACACAAAGAATCATCCTTTGATTTATTCTTCCACAAAAACAACACAGGCCTGGCACTAGTGGCAAGACTCACCTGGCTCAAACTAGCATCCGAGTACATGCCTTCCAGCTGCCGGCTGATTCTGTCAATGCTCTCCTTTAGCTCTGCAGAAAGAGAAATGAGAAAAGCTGAGAAAAACGTTATTGTGTGACTAGTGAAATTGTCTGGAGTTAAAAAGTGGATAGGCAAGTCAAGAATTATTCCGTTGTTGAGAATATTTAAAAATAAAGACAGAGGCACCTGAAATTTGCTCTTCGTTACTGTTTAATAAGTAGTCATTTATAGGCAGATACGGTGTTTGGACGGGAGGGAAAAACCTCACCTTGAATATTCTGTTCCACCTCTGCCCTCCAGCGTTGCAAACACCCTTCGACAAATTGCAGCTCCTCCTCCGACACGCTGTGAGGGGCAGGCTGGGAGGGCCACTCCACCAGGGGCCGGCACTGTGTGAACGGTTTGTATATGGGCGTCCTCTGGCCTGGTGGGGCCGGAGAGCTCAAGCAATCGGGTGTCCCCGAGTCCTCTGCTTCAGACAAACTGAGGCCAAATGCGAATGAACATTAAAAGGAGCTAATTTCTGTCTTGAATCACTGCACAGTGGCCAGCAAAGCTTATTTCTGTCCAACATCTAAGAACGTTAATGCGACTTTCACAACCAGCAGCCTTAACAGATCAATTAGTCACAGACAAATCATTTCACATGGGTTGAGCAAGATCTTTTCATGGAAACACTGAACTTCACGGAGTCTTCCATAACTTATCAGCAAGATTTTTGTACAGCAGTTTAATTAACAAATTAATATCACTCCACGTTTGATGAATGTAGAATTTCAAAGGCAGGGAGATGTGTGGGAAGGGATGTATAATTAAGGTACCAAAAAGGTTTAAAAAGAGCTGGACGTGCAAGTCCCAATTTATTTGTACCACGAGATTCCTTCTACAAGGTTCTTTTTAAAATACCAGGAAGCATTAAGTCTCCTTGCCTGGTGTTCTCCGGGGCTGGGTCGGTGTGGGTTGTGGTGTCGGGTGACGCTGTGGAAGGTGGCGAGATCATTCTGATGTCTTCAGCAGGTGAAACACTAGAAGGCTTTGTGGTAGCAAATTCCAGGACGTACTGCAACATGTCTGCCAATGGGTACTTTGCTGGCCCAGAGCCGTAACTGTTGTAACTGTGAAAAGCAATCGGAAAATGGGGATTCTGTATAGAATAAACTGTTTGGCAGCTTGGCATAAGATGAAGAACAACTGAGTCACGTAATGTATGGCCTCTCCTAGTTCTTCTCTTTTTAGACCGAACAAGTTCTTTATACAAATCTCGCATGAATAAGAGGCACATACTGTAGGCAGCCTTTTCTTATTAAACTGTGTTCTAAACTGTTTACAAGATGATAATAATAATAATTTCTCACACTTATATAGCACTTTTCTGGCCACTCCACTCAAAGCGCTTTACAGGTAATGGGGATCCCCTCCACCTGGATGATGTGACTGCAGCCATAATGCGCCAGTACGCTCCCCACACACCAGCTCTCAGTGGGGAGGAGAAGATGTTTACAATTTTCCATGCTGTAATTCATGTGTAGAAATAGAATTGAATGGCTGCCTAACTTATATTTATTGTCTTATATGCATCCAACAACTTTTTTTTAAACTTTTATTTTTAAAGTAACTTTGGGGATTCGTTGTATGTTCAATATTGATTTTGCTTAACCATCTAAGTCTTTTTCATTCCTAAGTAGCACAACAGCACCCTTGTCCTGCAACCAGCACCCAGTGCAAGAGTGCTACACTTTAAGGTACACCAGCAGACAAGCTTTGCTTTTCACATTTGGCATTGCTTCCTTTAACTTGCTAAGAAAAAAAATAAGTCTTATTATTCCAAGTCAAATTATTCTGAGCATCCCAATCATTGCCTTAGTTCAAACTGCCCAAGATTTCTTATTTTAGTTAAAAACAATTAATAGTTATAACTTAAAAGAGTGCACTTCTAATGTACAGCTTGAAATCACAGGTCGACTCACAGCGTGCAGAGCCGTTCTGGAACTGTATGGAATTTCATTCATCAAGAAGTTATTGAAAATTCGTCAAGAGCAAACCAGAGACCTATTACAGATTACACGCTGGCTTTTGTACATGTTCGGGGCTGAATAAAGGGCACTGTCTGGCCAATCCTTGTCCTGGACAACCAGTGTATTGGCTTGTTTTGATTCCAGCCGAGCTCTTAATGAATGACACCAGCTGGTTAATGGCTTAACTGGACCAATTTAACAGCTTCCCCCAGCTCTTCAGGTGCTGCTGCTCTAATGTGACCTTGAAAACCGACACGGACACTGGCCATTCACGAGCAGGACTGGACATCAGTGGCTGAAAGGCTCTTCTGAGGATTCTAACCAGACACTCACAGCGATGAGAACATTTAATTTAGAGAATTCTCCAAGACCTGGCGTGACTGCTGACAAAGACCACAGATTACCTCTCCAGTTTCTGCTGCAGAGCTGTCAGCTGGTCCTTCAACTTCTTTGCTTCTCTCCTCCTCTTCCGGATCAGCTCCTTGTTTCTGTGGAGGTACCTGCTCCCACAGATCAACACATGAGAATCAGGGTCATGGAGACTTTTTAGACATTTAGCATAATTTAATTCAATCCCCAAAAAAAGAAGCATGGTCTCTATGACTTGACAAAGTAATTATTTCTTCTTGGCTATTTTGTAAAATGCAGTTTAAATACAGGTAAACAGTATTACAGTTCAGCTAAGGTTCCTATCAATATGTGTACTACTTTGATTTCACAGCTATTTAAAACTGTTTAGCCCTCAGCAAATGCGCACCTGTCCATGTATATGACCTGGGGGAACTCCAGTTTCTTATGAATCTTCTCTGGGCGTCCCAGAGATTGGTTGAATTCAAACCTGGACAGTTCAAAGGTCAGCACTGGAGGTAATTTTGAGAACCAGCGCTGGGAAACAAAAATAAAAACAAGAAAATAAAAAATCTCTCATTAATGAAACAAGTATACATTTAAAAAAAAACAGGCTGAATAATAAAACATTAAAAACTAATAGCCCTTTAAATGACACTGTGTATTCACTGTGGAGTCAGAGCACTTGTCTAAGGGTGACGCGTTACCTAGACAACCACAGCTGGGGCGGTTAAGTTTGGATTAGCCGCAGCTGTGGGAGCTGTTTAAGAGCAGGCTAAAATCTTCCCTGGAGGGACCAGCTAGCTGGACACCTTTTTGTTTCTTTTCATTTTCTTTCTCTCCTCTCTTGTGGAGTTTTTTTCTTGTGGAGGTGGAGTTTTTCCTCCCCTGTCCCGCCATCTATCCTCACTGGGAAAGGTTGAGGGTTTTTGGGCCTTGCTCTCCTTTTTCGCAGATCTGGACCCTGCTAAAAAGGGACAACCCAGTCTGGATGCCCAAGCAGAGCATTTTTCTTTGTCCTTTTGTTCCCTCTTTTGCTGACCTCACACCGGTGCCTCTGCCCCCTCAGACGGGGTGTTGACGTTTACCGGTGTCACTGTGGCTCCTCCCAAGAAGCCACATTGTTACACTATGCTTTGCAGATTAACAGCCAACTGAATTTAAAGAAACATCACTTAAAGCAATTCTTCTAAAATCTTATGATTTCCTTTTCATAATAAAATTTTAAAAAAGCAATCTTCTGTAACAGCTTTTCCGAATCAGGTCTCATCATGTCAACTGCAAACAAGCTTTAGACCATTAAGTGCCTCTTATAACATATAGAAAATAGGTGTTTTTTTGTCTTGGTTTGGTGACATCTATGAATTGTCTATCCTTCGGGCCATTCATCCTTTAACATGCTATGAGCTCCACCCCAAACGACAAGAGGACCAACACAGACTGAAGGAGAGACATGCCCAATGGAGGGCCAGAAATATAACAGAGATCACTGTTTCACTGGGAGTTGGGACAGCCCTGGCCAATCCATCATTTCCCCAGGAAGTCCAGAGCCAACTGTACACCACAGCTCGGGGAATTTCACAGTCAGATAGTAACATGATCCAGGCTCAAACTTTCTAGGTCGGTTTGGAGATCAACCTGAGACCAACCTGACCTGGTTAATCTACTCAGGAGCCCCTGGAAATGTAATTTACTATCAAAACATGCAGCTCTACCACAACAATATAGAATCTGCCACCGAAAGAGTGACCCATCCTGTCCAAAGCTGTGCCAATGGCCTAGCACTAGGTATATACTCCATGATTCCTTAGGATTTGAAAGTGCTTTGGGTCCAGGCATTCCCCCTAGTGTGCTGTGCTATGAAGAAATGAGACTAATGGAAGTTATATCACAAGAGACTGATGATTGTTGGTGCACGTGCCTCTAGTGAACTGCTGCAAGCAACAGCAGACCTGTCTGAAGTGTCAATTCAGAGAACTTCCAGGACATATTCCAGGCTGGAAGAAAAAATAGGTTGAGCAATTCCAAAAGGACTGAGGGCAGATACTGGATGTTCTGTATTAAGACCAGAAAGTGCTACTAGATCTCCAGAAATCCAAAACCCTGTGATGAAATCAATGCTGTCATTGCAATTAGGGGTATTCTTTCTATATTTTGGTAGGACAGAATATAAACACAGTATTTGTTTTGCAATCCAGTTTGGTAGTACCCACCTCCTGCCCAGAGTGAACTGTCTGATCTGAGTGCAGAGTTTCAATCTCCCCCTCCACCATGGCTCCTTCCAGGCACTCATCTAAGTTGTTGAACCCATTAACTTGTAGAGGGTACTGGCCAAACTGCTCAATGTTGGAGAGCGTCTTGCCTAGAAACAGATTAACGAAGAGCTGGGTGAAGCAGCCGACCAGTCTGTGATCTAATCAAAAGCAAACAGTCTTCTATGTTCGAAAACTTTCTGATTATGTCCACTGGTTCGCCAAGTGCTAAAAGGCTGTAGATATTCATATAATGAGTTATTAAGACACCACCCCACACACGCACTGTAAGTATTACTCTGTTAGGCAGTTATCTAATTAATATAATACGACATACCGCTTGCCCACAGTGGAAAAAAAAATGACTATATGTAATCAATATAAAATAGTTCTGATTTCTACGAGGAAATGGATTTGGAAACACGCCTCATGGGGAAAAAAATATGGAGAGTTTCAAGTAGCCTAAGAGTCACAAAACTCAGCAAAACTCTGATTCTGGCTGTATTTCCAAGTACATGCACTACCTTCATGGCTTCTTTCAGCAACAAAGGTTCCATAGAAAAGCTGCACCATTGGATTCTGTTGCTTCGCCTCAGGATTGCTGAAAAAAGGCACAGCAATAAAAGCAGTAAGGTGCGTTTCCAAGGAAGAAGGAAAATGAAGAAGTGGAAAAGACAGACACTTTTCTGTCAGTCTGAATCCACGCTGTTTTTCAGTCCTCTCTTGCAATGTGTAAACCAGCCCTAAGCATCAGAGTAGGTCATCATTGTTTCCTGTTTTTTGGGAGGCTGGTTGTGATACAGGTGGCCAGTTAAGATGTGTAGACGGGTAAATCTTAAGCTTTTGCCCAAGAATTTAATCAACCCAACAGACAACCCAATACAATACCTACAGAGGCTTAAAGGGTCTTCTTTTGTTTATTCTTGGCTCCCACTGACTCCAAGTCAAGTCTTTACTTTTAAAACAAATCTGAAATTGCTGTTGTATTCAACATTCATCTTCTTTTTGTGTCTGGGATGAGAATATACTTACTTTCCATTCGCTGCCAGCTGAAAAGCATCTTCTAGCCAGTCAAGGAGCTTGTGGGTAAACTCACTAACATCCTGCTAAAACAAGTACAAAACAGGAACAACTGATGAGGGAGATTTAATTTCTAATTATTAATATTCTCTTGAGTGGTAGACTTTCTGTCATCTTTGCTCATGAAGGGAAGTGTTGAAGGGTTATACTGTGCTTTAATTAACGAAAGGCTGACTTCAGTTTTATTTTCACTTACTGCTATTCATACAAAATTAAAGGCCTGTGTTCGACTTCTTCGTTGCTCTTTGAGATACTGAACGAAATCACGGACTTTTGCCGTAAAGCTTAATTTTGCACACTATGTTGCAAGAGTTAAGATCGTCTAGGGCTCTCCAACACTGGTCTTCAATATTGATATCGGCGCCAGGAAGATGGTGTTCCTCATTTGAAACAAATGGAGGAACACCACCTGGGAACGGACCCAGCAGCTTCAAGTCCAAAGTCACAACCAGGAAGCCAAGTGAGAGCATCAGAAAGAGGTAACCATGACCAGCACAAGAATGCACCTGCTTAACCCGCCAGAGAGGGAAACCACCGGGTTCATGTAACTCATGAATGAGCCCTGGCCCTGAAGTCCCATCCTGTTCGTCTTACAGCTCACCTGTTGCTAGAGACTGGCATCACCTGTAAAGTGTGAATGAATCAAGCAAGCAATTTGTTCAATGAACAGAACTCTGGGCTTAAAAATCTGAAGAGTTCTTAGCTTACGATCCTAAATGATCTTTATTTCATTAAATAAATCACCTGCTCAATTGATCGCAGTAATTTGTTCTGAATCTTCGGAACCTGGTGATTTAGCGGTGATCTGCAGCAACCATTGAGTTAGGGCTCTGCAGAACCAGGGTGGGACTTGAAAATGCGTTTATTAACAGATCATTTAATAGCGCTTTGTCAGCATGCTGTTATAAAAAGGAATGGCAATTAATTAATTAACGGAGCTGAAAAAAAATCTTTTCAGCAGTGAAGGCGGTCTTCAAATCATTGAGCAATGTTACCGACACCTCACTCAAAGCGGATTCTCATGACAGAAGGCGGACAGTCAGAACAGTGCAGGGATGTGAACCAGGCTACAAACACCAGGAACCAGTTTCCTTTAGCACAGCCAATGCATTGCGACCTGTGACGAAGTGACCACTCAAACTACCTGCTGGGCTTCGCTGGTCCGAAAGGCATCCTTCAGGAGTTCCACAGCAGCAGAGGGGTCCACAAACCTGCGACTGGAGCCCACCATCAGGGCGAAGAGGCAACGGAGCTCCTGCATGAAGGCAATGTTCCTCTTTTCCTGCACACAGTCACAGAGGACCCCCATATTTTTTAAAAGGGCCATTCAGACCTTACGGTATACACATAAGAACCTTCACCGCACCAGTGGCATGCTAACTGGTTATACTCTTAAGGCTAATTGGTTAAACAAAATGACTACAGCTGCACGCAACTGTGCAAGTAGAAGACATTCAGCATGTTGTAGTTTACTAGTATACTGTAATGACAGGGCACATGAATGTTAAAAGACCCTGCTGTTAAGACACTAACAACAAGTACTGTTCTCAGAAAGCGTATACTATTTGCAATCTTCCTCCCTGAGCTTTGTCATGTGAGGCAGTATCAATGCAATAATCATTAGTTTCATGATGGTACCCCTCTGCACAGCCACCCAGGACAGAATTCTTTTCAGGCAACTCACACTGTGGCTCCTGCATTTCTCCAAGATGCTCTGGGAGAGAGTGTAATTCAGGACCAGTCTTCGGAACTTGGGCAGATGAAACAGAGACTAAAATACAGAGCAAAGGGGAATTGCTGTAAAGTTCCATTTACACTTTAATTCTGACATTGTTTCACTACAATTTGGATACATCGTGTTTGGCAGCGGTCCATTAACACCAGCGGGTGCATATAACAGCTGGTGCAATTTCTGCTGGATCCCAGCATCAGTGTGTTGATGCTGATCTGGCACAATTTACAGTATTTACCAGTAACACACACTACACAACTTTGAGAGCACTGCGTAAGTACACAAGCATCAAAAATCATCACAAAGCTGTGAATTCCCTTCTGTAAAAAAAACAGTACCCGATTTTTAGCTGACAGTGGCATTTCGTGGTGTGTGCCCACTGTCTCTGACTACTTCCATAACATAGTAAAGCTTAGCAAAGGATTATAAATTGAAAATATTTACTCAGGCACATATAAGGCTAGAAAATACAAGATGCTTTTGAGAGGATACTATCCCGAATGCACATTTTTTTTAAATCAACTCTGATCAGAATAAGCCATTTAAAGGAGAAACTACAGTATAACACAATGAAAGTTAATGGTAAGTGTAAGGAGCAAACAATGCCTTAAATTTAGATTAAAACAAGGACAGATGCTTCAGACTGCAACAAAGTACATGTACTATAGGCTGTAGCACGCCAGCAACGTTATCTCTAACTGATTTGGGAGATTTGTATGTACTTCACACCACCTGAAATAAGACAAAAACTACCTTAAGTAGAGCAGCTCCATCTCAAACCAAATTCAATTAACATTTATCAAAGAAAGCACCATTTACAAGAACAAACTTGGCTTAATCGTTTGCCTACTGAATTTGAATGAAAACCACCTTAAATTTTACATCTTTAACCAGATTCAATTAACTTTTATCAAAGGCAAAGGGTCGTCTGAAGCCGCAAACATGTCTGATAAACAGTTGAAAGTGGATTATATTTTACGGAAATAAATGAAGAGCTGTTTCCACACTGGGGCTGCAGAAGAGAAATGAACGGAGAAGAATACAAACGGAAATCACACAATCATGTTAAGACGATACGACCAAATTAAACTGTGGAAGAATAAAAAAACTCTCAGATACTGTCATAATGGTTATGTAATTTACTTCATTTAACAAATTGTTTGTTTCCCTAACTGAAATCAAGATTCCGAACATTACACAGCCATATCTTTGAGGCAAAAAAACTCCTATGCAGATTTTGAAAGATGCTGCCATATGAACCAATCTCTATAATGTCTTCCAAGCTTAATGCTTACCGTATCGTCAAGACCACCACAATATTGAATTACTTAGCTGTATACCTATACCTATGCATTACAGTAAAGCAAGAAGGCAATCTGATACACTTGACTAAAATCACTAGAATGCTTTTAAAATTAAATTAGTATGCGGAATATCAGTCACAAAATGTCTCCACCTCATCTGTCTCATCCTGTTGTCATCCTATTCAAGCTTGACGCATTGTGCTAGGATTTGGGAAGACAAAACTGGCCACCTTTTATGGGAATAAAGGAAAGAGGCACATGGAAATACCATTAGTTACGGCACAAACAATTTCACCTGGCTACCATCCTAGGTCCATTTAAGAAACACGAAACAAAATCTTTAAACGTTAACAGAGGGCCATGGCTTAAGGTTTAATTTCGCAGACAGCTCTATATTGGCGGAGGGGAGGGGTGGACCTGTGGCTATGGATCTGCGCCTGTGGCTGGAAGGTTGCCGGTTCAAATCCAAAGGACGGCAGGGGAATCCTACTCCGTTGGGCCCCTGAGCAAGGTCCTTTACCTCAGCTGCTCCAGGGACGCTGTACAATGGCTGACCCTGCACTCTTACCTGTGTATTTTTCTCATGGAGAGCAAACTGGGGTATGCCAAAAAGATGCACTCCTAATGTAAGAAATTGTATATGGCTAATAAAGTGATCTTATCTTATATTAATCCTCTTCATTGCCGTCACAACACAAATGATCATCGCTTGCACAAATTCTAACCTGAAACACTTCAGTGTGCGACGGTGCTCCTTACCTGTATGACTGCGCTGAACCAGCAGGTGTTCCCAACGTTCCTCAGGCCCACCGGCCAGCTGTCTTGCCTGATCCAGTCAGCAGGACTGGTCTCTCCCCAGGCCTCGCACCTTTTCCTCTTTGCCCGAGCTTTGTTTTCAGCCACACTTGCCTCCAGGGCCCTAATGAGAGAACCAAAGGAACAGAGCTACCAAAGGAGAGCAATCCTTGCAATGACTGGCTGTCGGGAACCACTTCATAACAACTGACATGTTTGTAATTTCATTCTGTCTTTAGCTAGTAAAAGACTAGATGGCTTTGGACTAATGTGCTGGTCATGTGATCTTCACTCAGCAGGACTACTCCTAAGTCAAAACATGATAGGTATAGACAAGATGGCTGCCTTTTCAGAACCACGTTCCTCAGAAGGCATTGGGCCATGACCTGCAGTTTCTGTTTAAATAATCGCTATCTACCTCACACCCTTGCTTATACAACATGCCCAAGAGCTCTGGAGAAGTGTCCCTGAACAAGCCAGAGAACCAATTTGCTGACTGATGGCTGTGGGGTTATCAGTGGACAACAATGAGCCAAAAACTATTCTTAGAGGCTGAAGGTACTGTTTTTACTCACACACTGTGAACCACTTCTTTATCTCGGAACTTCCAAGCCATTTTTAGTTTACGAAATAAAGGGCACTACCGCATTTAAACTACGACATCCCTTAACTCTCAACCTGTTCTGTGCTCAGCCCTCTCTATAAATAAGAAGAACATTTGTTGTTGTTTTATTTATACTTTACAGCTGTGTGTGTAATGTGTTTCCCTGTAAAAACGCCTATTTTAAGATCACTGCTACCACATCACAGCCAGGGCGCTGCTGGGATACCCCACCTGTTCAGATCCCTGTCTTCTGCTTGAGCATTCTGGGATTCTTGTAAGCTCAATTCTATGGCGGTCTGAAGGTCATCTTTGTCACCACTGCCAGTTAAGTCAATAACCTCTGAAAGGTAAAAAAGACAGAATTAAGTTTAAGCCTTAGAGTATGGAAATTTTTTACATATTATAGCATATATGTTACATGAATATACCTAAGATTATACCATGAGCACTTAAACACTGTGGTTAAATGTGAACTTCATTATGCAGTGTATAAAAACATAACTAGACAAGAATCATTGTAAGAAATCTTGGTTTAAGTTTTTAGGAGGTGCCTTTGTCACTTATCTCCTTCAATCTTTTCTCGCTGCTAATTACTGCTGAAATTATGCTGGCAGAAAAATAGCTGAGTGTGGTTTGCCAAATAAACATTTAAGAAATAATATAATTAAGGGGGTACATTCTGATGAGCTCTTTAAAGTTTCAGGAATTTTTAGTCTATAGGAAACAATGAATAACTGTGAGTTAAATTCTAAGTTGTCATCATACACGTACAGTACCATTTAACATGCCAAACAACTTAAATGTTGTCTGTGAGTAACACACAAAACACATATAGGTTTTAAACAATTTTATGACCTTTCTCAGAAAAAACACACACACATTCAAAACAGACCAATGCATATCAAAAAGAATAAAGGAGTTAATTAATAAAGGAGGGAATTACAGGGTAAACAACAAAACAACAAACAATGAGGATCCCATGTATTCTGCACAACCAAAAGAGCGCCATTGACGATTAAGCAAAATTGTCCTTTAATACTTTGCCAATAAATAAGCAGAACGCAGATCACCGGGGAGACAAAGTACTAAAATATACCCTTTGTTAAACCTCAACTTCCAATTTTTGATGAGTACATTTGCCGTTTCTATGCAGGAGACATGATGCGTATGGGCAAATTAATACACAACAGAACTGTATGTGCATTGTAAGTAAACATAAAACAAGAGCAAGACTGTGCACAGCAGTCAATTTGCATTAACTGCTTACAGGATAAGGCCTTTAAAACAAGATGTGCAGAACATTAGCAGCTTCCTCTTAATTTGCCTTAAATTACACCTCCTGCCAGCTGGTGTGGGACAATCTTGTCTTTTGTAATTGCTCTCTGAAGGTCAGTGTTCTCCCTACTTCCGACTTACTTGTCTGGGCTCTCCTGCCCACGACACTTCCTTCAGCATCAGACGGCTCCACTGCAATGACATCCTCTTCTGGCACTTGGGCAGTCAGCATCGTGATCGCTTGACTCATGTCCCCATTGCTAGCCTGGGGCATCAAAATACAAAATTAAGAGGAGAGAGAGAAAAATGGAAGTGTGGCTCCAGGGTCAAAGACAAGACAACTGCTGCCTTTTCACTTTTCAAAGAACTGGCAGTAGGTACTTTGTGCTTTTCATTTTCCTAATAGGGATGCACTCTTGAGTGGTGGCACATTGTCTCATGATGGCACACACCTTGAGAACTCTCTGTAGAATCTCAACATCCTGGGTGCCCGTGATTTCTCTCAGCTGGTTGATCAGGACGTGGGTCTAAAAAACACAGTAAATGGAAACAAAAATGTTTCAATACACATAATTCTAAAGTCACCAACAATATCTCAACCTTTTGAAATATTTATCAAGGGATAAATAAAAGAACAAGGACAATTTCCCTTATAACTCAAACATTGCTGATGGTCAGGGCAATAAGGAATCATTAGCACTGTTTACATCTTTAAAACAAGTACGCAATGACAATCAAAGACAGGGAGTAGACAGTCACTGACCCTTCAATCTAAATGGGAAAAACATCCAGTCTGTCATGTTAACAGCGGCATTTTACAACTTACTACCAACAAATTACATAGAGAATTTATGGAGATCAAAACAACTCAGGGTGGGGTGGCCATGTTTCACAGCTAACAGCTACAGGGAATTAAAAAAAAATGGAAATAGGATTTCCAAGATGATTGGACCTAAGCAGCGAGAGAAATAAGGGCAATGTGGTGATACTTAGCGCTTCTGCTCACAGCACTGAGACATGGGCTTGACTACAGTCTGGGGTGCCTTCTGTCCGATATCTGCACGTCCTCTTTCAAAGACATACGGGCTAGATTATCTAACATCTCCAAACTCTCTCCATGTGTGAGTGCATTGGCAACACATCAAGGCTGTAGCCCTGCCTTATACCCTGTGCTAACCTGACTCTCCAGGTAGCAGAAACCCTTACCAGGAATAAGCAGCTTACCGATTACAGATGAAGGGACAGAAAAACAGTAGAACTGTTTACATGACACGAAATAAGAGACCACAAACCGATACCATTTGTATGCTTAAGATACACACAATTTCCTGCTCACTCAATCTGTCTGCGAAACGGGTAAGGGTCTGGCAGATACCAGAGCAAGTTAAATTCTCACCACAATGTGAAAACATTTTTTTTTCGGAGAGAGCCTGATCCACACTGGATCCTAATCTGCGCAATCGCACTCTTACGGTATGTCACTTGGTAGATCTGAAGTTTACCGGGTTGGAGCAAATGAAGAAAAACAAGCAGTGTCAGGGGTCTATATAAAGGTAATTGAATTGCAGCAGATGGAAAAGTTAGGTTCTCTCAGCTGGCCTCCAACACACCCAGATACTTGGCCTCACAACAGGAGACATATATGGAGAACTAGAAGACCAACGGCCGCTGGTCAGAGTCTATTTTGAGCCACAGCACTGATAGCCCTTGTGTTTAGCATTCCTCTCACCCTCTAAGGGGGCTTGAGTGACACAGCTAAGTAGGTGGTTGAAAAAATATAGAATAAATTCAACCCTGTTTTTCATGATGCAGGTGGATGCATATAATATAAGACTGTTGTATACATCCTCCCCCCCTGTCAATATTTGTGTTGATTTCTATTGGGTTATTTTAGCTGAAACACACACAGTAAAACACGTCGTACACTGCCCGAGGTCTTGTATTTTATTACAGTATCTTAAAGGATGAAAGCATCAGCACGTTACACTCTGTAAGAAATGGCAACAAAGACAAAATGCCAAAAGCTGTGCTGTAGCTGACCGACACCTGTCTCCCATAGTGTCAAGATGAGCACCTGTCACGTTCCAGTTGGGAAAATGTGAGCAATCGGACTTCAATTACGCAAGCCTATCCAGAACACGATGTTACCAAGAAGGGTACGTTTTACCTGAGTCACAGCTCTTAAGCAGAAAGATGAACTGGACAAAAAACTTTTTGAGCTACATATTATACCCAGGTAATTCAACAAACGACAGAAATGCAAAAGACTTCTGTCAATCAGCATAGAATGTGTTCAGTCTTTGAAGCACATCAAGGTTATAACTAAGTCTGGACACTTTCAGTGTTGGAAACTTGGGATTTCACATACCAAGGAGCAAAACTGAAAATGTGAAAATGTTCTTATCTGTCAAAGGCTGAAGCTATTGGTGGAAATGCTGTTAAGATGGCCTTTCAAACTAGGGGCTCATCTGAACACACAGGCTCATTTTTCAAGCCATCTGTAGTTCAGGAAACCTGATCATGAAGGTGGTTAAGTTTTGGAGACCTCTGACAGGAAGGGCACTACTTCAAAATACCGTTTTTAGTACCAATTAATCTTCTTGCTACTTAATTGTAAAGGGTTTTTTTTTGCACGTCTTTTCCTGGTTCTATCTGTTTTGCTGTTCTGCACAATTATACTACAACAACAAAAAAAGAATTTAATTTCTGACAAGGCAAAAACTGCACTACTCTATGAAAAAGAAAAAAAAAACACTCTTTTGAGAAAAGGCAGTATTAGGGGGAAAAATACAAAAAGGCCTTTTGCCTATTCTGGTATTGAAAGGTAGCTAGCTTATCAACATTTAACCTACCAGTCTGTTCGTTTTGATCCTGGAACTTTTTGCACTAACTAGTACTTAACTCACCCAGTAAAAGCTGTCCCTTTAAAAAGTGTTTGAAACACTAACCCGATCTTGACAGCAGCGTATTCTTAATGCTCTGTACAGTTTGTCTCAATCGTGAACAACATGATTAGTCAGTTTTACTCCAAGTGTAACAGTATTAAGTGTATTACAGATGTTCAATACTGTAGATGTCAAAGAATAAAAGTAATATCTCTGATTCAAGGCTACAGGGAAGAAGAAAAAGTCAGATAAGATCCTTGAAAGTAATAGATAAAGTCCCAGCAAAAATAACTTTTCTTTAGATAAGCTCTCAATAATGGCTGCATTACTCATTCAAATGTTTATGGGCTGTTTTCAATTTTATAAAAAGTAAGAGTCTCATTGAAGCACTCAGTGAAGTCAGATGTGGTGTATTTTGATTTTTTTTTAAAAACAGAATTTACATTGGTGTAATCCCAGTAGATCCAGTAAGACCTTTCCTTATTAAGTTACAAATGGTGGAATAGGAACTAGAGCAATTATATTTATAAGGAGTGTTTCCTTCTTAACGTAATAACAACAGCAGATGGTAAGTTAACGATAATGGTAATTGTCAGTCAGTGAATTAAAATGAGAAACACACAGGTATTTAAAGTTTTTTTTTCCTTTGCCATTTTCCAATAATATAAAATTGGGAAGTGCAAGCAATGCTTATTTTTAAGAAAACAAGTTAGAGCACCAGTGCAAAACTAATAACATGATCCAATGTGTTTGTTTTTCTACCATCATTCTTGAACACTGACGTCTCAGGAGCACTGCTGTTTGCTCAGGTGGGGATATCTGAGCTAATCTATCGAAATGTTTGGTCTAAATCACTGCTGGCCTAGCATGCAGTGCCATGATTTTTATTTTTATTTGAAAAAAATCCCAAGTACAGAAACTGAAATCTACATGAAACACAGTTGTTCCCCCGGCAGCTGGGGGAGTTTTGCAGCTGTGTACATTCAATACATCTACAGTGGCAATAAATACACCTTTTTCTCACTTTCAATAATTGGTAAAGGCTACACCCTGGCAACATTTCCCATTGGCCTTTCCCATGGACTCCTAATAATCCCCATCTATAAATTGGCTACATCACTCTGTTCTCCTTCCCACTAATACCTGATGTGTGGTGAGCAGACTGGCGCCGTATGGCTGCCATCACATCATCCAGGTGGGGCTGCACACTGGTGGTGGAGGAGGGGAGTCCCCGTTACCTGTAAAGCGCTTTGACTGGAGTGTCCAGAAAAGCGCTATATAGGTGTGAGCAATTACTATTTACAAAATGGAGCCATGAAGCACATTTGTAGGTACAGTGGGCATCTCTTCTATAGGGTGTTTCTTGCTACAATAAGCAAGAAACTGGAAAAAAGGAGCCCGATTTCAGTTAAAAAGGTCAGAATGGACTGTAATCGACAAATAGAAAACAAACACGGCTCGAATCTAATTATTGCCGACTATTTTTAAAGCGTGGAGCTTTACTGATGACAGTACAGTAGACTGATTCAAGAGTGAAAACCTAAAGCTAAGCGAATTGCCAGACAATTTAAGGCCACAACGTGTCAACGCTCCCATTAAAAGTGAAAAGCTAATAAATGAGGCAAATTAGGAGAAATGAAAGTGGTTATAGCGGCACATAGCGAAGAAATGGACGATTTGGAAAAAAATACTAGGTGTAGTGACAGGAGTGACAGTCTTTTTTTCATCGGTGGTTACAGTATCATTAGTAATAAAATGCTTTCCAGCAAACTGTAATGTCCAGAAAACGTTTTAACTACAAATGCAAAAACATCAGCAGTGTGAGGCTTGCTATACATGCAAGTGGAAACGGATCAAAGTTCAGATTTGCAGGGTTTTTTTCACATGAAGTTGCGCTTGTTCTTTGTAAGGGAATGCTTCACTCCTAGTTAAGATGACACGACTAATAGGGGAACTTAAGATGTGAAAGTACGTGCATCAAAGCCGCCCCTCTTTTTATTTTGAACAGCTCAAGCCAGTTTAGAGATCGGAAACGCAGCTGGAAAACGGTGTTGAACACAAACCTGCCCTAACGCACGATTTTGCTTGAAATCAAGCGCAGGTTTGCATGCAGTGGTCTCTGCACGCTGCAGACGTGAGCTCAGACCTACAATACCCAACCCAGGTAGCGCCGCTCTGTTTTGAAAGGTACATGTTGAAGCAGCGCAGAGCTGAGGATCAAGCTCGTACACTCCCCTCGCATGTGTTTTCAAAACAACGTGATTGGCATGGACAGCAACAGTCTGTAACTTGGACTTTAAAAATGTCTCGGGGCTACCCATCTGCACCGATCGTACCTATTTTTGTTTTGTTTGCAATAGTTATTTTTAAGGCTGAATTTGGTGGTAATGATAAAAAAATATATACTAGGGTGAGAAAAGTTTTGCATTCCTGCTTGGTGTGACGGCTAGCATACAGCGAGGCGTGTAGTTCAGCAAATACGATCTCTCTGCAAACTTTTTTTTTTGTTTTGCTCGTCAACACGAGTGTCAGACTTCGCAGGGAGAATCTTTTTTAAAAACTTTCCGCCGCTATTTCGCTCACCGAACTGCCAGAGTTGTCCCCGTGATCGCACTGCTGCTCGGCCGTCATGGCAATGGACCAGATCCTCCTCTTTTTTCGGTAATTTTCAATGAAACCTTCTCCCCCTGCTTCAGACTCTCGCCTCCTCCATCCGTCACCCACACGCCAGGCGCGCCCCCGCGGCTCGTCTGCCCAGGATGAAGAACGAGCGCGCTTGCGACGTGCATGCCCACGTACTGCGTGGGGAGGTGACAATAACGTCCCCGTCGCGTGCATCGTGCGCAGTAGCTGAGCAGGCAGGTTAACTTAAAGGGTGTGGTGGTTTCTGGAATTCGTAGTAGGTAAACTATGTTAGTGAACTGGATGCCCCTGCAACTTTATTTGCAATTGTTGCTAAAAGTGATCCAACTATTATGCATCTGTTGAAATAAAAAAAAATGATATTATGGGGAAATACTGAAAAAAACACTCTCGATTTTCTTCAGATACTGTATTATATTAAGTCTTGCACCTTCTTTTTCTAAGATTAACCAGTAAATGACGCTGTTACTGTCTGCATAGTTTTCACCTTTTTGGGGAGAGATTTGCATCACCCATTTCACATACATGAGTAAAAAAAACCACATTCGGCAAGTGAAAAACTTGGGTGCAGAAATGCCCCCTTTCGTTTTTTACCTTTACTGTTTCCTGGAGAACTTGCATGTGATTTGTACGGTAAAGTGCACCCCATACACATTCCGATATGACAATAATATTAGGTGAGCACCAATTTGGTGACAGCATACAATATGAAGGTAGAGGGTTGAAAAATCACAACATTGGATTCTCTTCCGCCTATTTGGAATATAATTGTTAATTGACCCAATAATTTCAGCCATCTGCAGGGGGAGAGCCTCCAAAAGCAAGGCTGGGTAGGTTTTTTATATATATTACAAAATTGCTATTGTATTTCAAAAGAATAAATGTAAATATAATGATCAGATTTGCTTTGACATATAACTTGGGTGACATCAGCTCCTGAGGTCCAAGATATTGTGGCTGGGTTAACGTGTATCTAAAATGCTCTATGTTTGTTCGTGTGTGAAATCTTTGCTGTCCATCTTGCTGTATTTTAAGTCGATATTATTGACCCAAGGGGAAAGGTCTGGTCCTTGTTTCAAGAGAACTGGAAATACTAACGGAATAATTCCATATATTTAATTTATTCTTTAATAATAGATTGTAATTGATGCTAATTGTGCTTTGTTTAGTTTGAAATAAAACCTGGACTTCCATGCTCAGTATTTATAGTATAAAAAGTATGAGAATCAGATGTCTGACTATTGCACTTTGAACACGTCGAAAGACTTCAAAAAGACAGCACCTGTCAAAAAGACAGTTTTTTAAATGTTCCTCCAATAGAATTGAATAAGGACCTGCCTTCATTTATTTGTCCGAATTGATGCATTTTAAATGGACAAAGTCTTGTAAAAGTAGTAGGACTCTATCAATGTAACGTACACTGCCAGTTCTTATTGTGTTAGTTTAAAAAAAAAATCCCAAGAGCACTGCCCTTCCTGCATTATTCCATTATCCACTTAGCATCAGTGTATTGGCATAATGAAAATTCAATCCACTGGAGGACACCAAAGTTTAATGATGCCGTCCTTCAGTGACGTGGGCAAGTAAGAGCCTCTTCTTTGGCAAACTCAGGCTTTAGGATCTTACCCCGACATTAAGTGACAAATTGATTAAAAAAGGAATAAGAAAAAACATTACACGAGAACAGACAGATGCCTCTGAGCGCTGCAGACCTGAATTAGGGAGCTAAGCGAGATTTCAGAGCAGCGTCAAGAAACCAGGAGCACCATCTCAGACTAGAAGGAAGGCCATGGCACCTGTAACTCTCCTGCTGCTTTTCCTCTCAGGTAGGACACGTAGTTTATCTCAGATAGGTCTATAGAAGAAGCACTGTATACTGGATTTAACTGGTAAATTGATGGTGAGATTAGAAATAAATCAATTAGGGGTTATTTATTGGGGGTGGGGGGGGGGAGGATACTGCTACTGCTACGTTAAAAAATACAAAGATTGACACCAACCAAGCAAATTGAAACCGTTACAGTGATTGGGGGAAAAAAAAGAGGACGCTTCTTTATAATGAATGCATGGAGTCTAGTGGGCTAGGGATGAATTAAACCTGAGTCCGCGACGAGGGTCTTTCTGTGCTTTCTTCAGTTTTACCTGAAACAACGTCACAGATGTGCGTGGAAAGAGTGACGCACCGCTTCAAAACAACTTGGCATAACTGCGTTTTGTCGTGCTGCTTTTTCTTTCAAAATATTTTCTGTCAACATTTAAAATATATTTCCGGGGCCCATGTCCTGTCCAGCCTCAGTAAAACCAAACAGCTATAAAACGCTACTTAATCACAGAGAGAAAAATGTACTGCACAGGTTTTCTATACTCATAGAATATACTTAATATTTAGACATTTTAATTAATAATTCTTTCATTTATTAATATTATTGCTTTCTTCTCATATTGCCCTTTAACACTTTCTGATTGGTCTGTCATACCTGTTACCAATTTTTAACATCATCTGAATGTAGGAAATGTGTCCACTCCATACAAAAATCAGTGAAGTTTATTAACTTAACAGCTGTGTGCAAGTTTCAGAAGTGTGGATTAAATTAATATGGTCTTGTTCAGTTGTATATTGTTCTGTTGTTTTGGCATCTACCCCCAAATACGTGTTCTGCAACAATTAAGATTAATGAAGTGTTAGAAATCACAGAGAAAGATAAAGTATATTGAAAATATGATATCAAGGGAGAAATGTATTTCATAGCAGCCGAGCACTATTACAGGAAAAAAAAAATCTTTCTGTATGGCCTAATGTTTCTCTTTATTGAATTATATCTGTTACTAAGGGCAATTTCTCTTACAATGTGAACCAACAACACATACTTTAGAAAAAAAATTGAATTGCTTCAGGCTTGAAAAAATGCTGTCTAATGTAACAGGTGCTCTTATTGACCTTAGTAGGTTTTAAGCCAGTTTAAACCACCTGTGTCTATATTGGGGAGCTCTGAATTCTTCTGGGTTGAAAGAACACAAAAAAAATTGCACAAAATACTACAATCAAAAATGGCATATATGGAACAGAATTGATCATAAATATATTCCATATAGAGTTCAGGAAGTGAATGAGCATTGTAATTTTCTTGCCCAACAATACTGTATCTTTGTAGACCTCAAGATAAATCAACTCAGTTTACATTGCATATAAAATTAATTTAAAAAGCACAGATCACCCTCTCGCCTTTCCATTGGGACACCTGGCTCTTTTAATTTGGCAGCTTAGTGTAAAAAAGAAAACAAATCTAAAATTAACATGTCAAAGATACTCTTTTAACTAAAGGATATTTCTTTTAACTCATTTTTGGTTCCTATAAAATGAGATCATCACAAGAAGAATGGTAATAAGAGCTACCGTAGCGTCATTTAAGCTATAATGAAGTGGTGAGTAAAACATCTGTATCACCTAAAGAATTAAAATTAGACAGTACTATAGGCATGAAAAAACTGTACTATTTCATCATTTCCACGTTGAAAATGATGCATCATTATGGTGTGTAGAGTATGCATTACTTTTCCGTCAGGTCGCTCCGAAAGCACCAGTTTCTGAATGGTTTTCTCCTCTTTGTGAAAAGGAGCTGTTGCTGCTTTTTAGAGAAGCAAGCCTGACCTTCTCTCATAACTTTTAGAATTTCTGAACTTCTACTGGCATTATCATGCGCAGATCTCCCCACCTTGTGGAAGAAGTCAGTACTGCGATTACATCCATTCTGCAAAAAGGTTTAGAATCTGCATTCTACACACACCATCAAATTTCTATATATTTACATCTAAAACAGCAGTTGCAAGAAATGGAATAAATCTTCATACAAATTCATCTTGTAATTTTAACTGCTGTTTTTAATTTAATTACTGAGTCACCTAAATGATATAAAACAGGTTTCAGATATTCACAATGGTTATGAATGTATACAAATATTACATGCACCTGTAAAGCACGTTTAATCAAATCAGTTATAGTTTGTATGTGTTGGTAGAGCACACAATCATTAACTAAAACCATTCAGTTAAATTTAGAAATTAGATTCCAAATTAAATGGTACTACAAAATCAGACAAACATAATTTAACCTATTTTTAGCCATTTGCTGAACAGGCAGTTTTGGCATTAAGCATCATTTGTTCTGCATGAGATAAACACATGCAGTTGACACCTAGATGTTTCCAAAATGGGCAGCTGTACTGCACTTATTCTTGAGTTACATTTTCAATGCAATTCAATTTTTTATATAGCGCCTTTCACAACAAGGTTGCCCCAAGGCGCTTAACAGTGCAAGTGACCATACATTTTGCAACACTATCATCAATCGACAAGTCTAGTTTTACATTATTGTGCAACACAATTACATATTGCACACTTGCACAACTGTTTTATACTTGAGATGCTTATAAATGCAAAACATGCAGATTGCTGTGTTGTTGCTGCTTGAAAACAGCTGTCAGGGCCTCCACTTAATATCCTGACAAAAAATACATCTGATTTGAATTTGGACCACTGCCTCTTCAGCTTAGTTTTTGTGACATGTATAGATTGTTAATCAATGCAGTTTTTCACCACAAACTCTTCTAGCTCCGGTAACTGTGACTTTTAGAGAGAAGCCCAGGAGGTCAGCTCTGAATCAGCTGACCAGAACGCTTCTTCGGAACTACAGCAGTGGAGTTCGGCCAGTGAGCAACTGGACCACGCCTACCATTGTCTACATTGACTTCATCCTTCAGGCTGTACTTGATGTTGTAAGGACTGCTCCCTCACTGTACAGTCTATGCTTACTGTATTATTCTGTTCTATGAAAAATAAATCATTTAAATACGTAAATCAAATGGACCGTTTAGACAACAGAAAAAAACTAATCAGTATTAGTGCACACTGTAATGACTTCTTACTGAAAACCCTGCATTAGAAATTCAACAATCCAGTGCCCTTTTCTTAAAATATTGTTGTCTGGAAGGAATCTTAAAGTACATTTAGTTACTGGTTTACTATCTTATTGTCAGGCTTCAAAACCGAGAGGTTTATATGCTAATTCAATAGATGGTAATCTTTTTGCAGTCAGAGACTGAAACTACCACAAGACTTTCTCTATTAAAAAAAAACAAACTAATGATGCTCATGTAAAAAGCTTTGATAACTAGGAGAGTAAACACCCAGAAATACGATCTATGGTAGCCCATCAAAAATACTTTCTTAAATTAATTTTTTTTAATCAATACTTCATGCTCCAGAATCCCCTTAAAACATGAAATGGGTTTTGTAACTACTTTGAGTAAGTGATTTCCTGGAAAACTATTTAAGAAAAATCCATTCCATTAAACCAGCTGATTCCATATCACAGATTCTTATGTGCTTTATTGATAAATATGCATTGCCTTACTGCTTAAGTAACTACAATAAATCACCATTATCTTTTTGTCTAAGGATGGGCAAAACCAGAAAGTAACCACAAGCATCTGGTATCGGCAGGTCAGTAAATTCAAAGTCAATTTCCCTCATTTTGATACCAACATCTACATTACAGTACATCACAGTGGTATTCTTTTACATAAACTGGCACTAACATTATCTTTTCATACATTATGTATACTGAGAAAAAATACATTATACTGATGATATTAAAAGCATCTAAAAAGTGCACCATTGTATACCATCCTGTTTTTGGTGGGATAATTTTACACAAAGATGAAATATTAATAAGAACTTCTAATCAGTTGGAACCATGAATAAAAATGATAAATTATTATATAGAAAAATGTTTTTGTGTTGACTCTTGACATAGGTTTTAATACAACAAAAATAAAAATAATAATTTTTAGAATATGGCATCCAACTGCATTTATAAAGCCTTATATGGTTTCTTGGGAATTACTATAGATTTTTGCAAAAATGTTTAAATATTATTAACATAATAGTTTCTTTCTTTGAAAGCATTCATAATGAAATCAGGTTTATATGTACAATATACTAATTTACATGCAAAAAGAATAATTACACATGAGCATTTGACCATTTCCAAGAACTCAAATGTAGAGAAATTTGGGAAATTGTTCATAGGCTTTTGCACTTTGGATTATTTTATTTTTCTTTTCTAATTTGATATCTCTTGCAGTTCTTGTTCAAGTTTCACAATCAGGCATATCTAAATACAGACCATGTTTTACAATATGCAAACATTTCTTCACCATCAGTTCTGTGAGAAGTTATCGCTCTTTAAACCGTATATGAATCTGTCACAAAAATGTCATTATGACATAATCTAGACTCTAGTCCATAACGTCTGCTATTCAGGCAGCAGAAATCCTCCAGAAATTAAATTAACACAGCATTCTGTTTTTACATTCTGTTTGTGTTTACTTTTTAGATCTGGAATGACGAATTCCTAGTGTGGGACCCAGAGGCTTTTGATGGAATTAATGAGATCTCTTTATCTTCAGATGCCATCTGGGTTCCTGACATAATCATTAGCGAATTGTAAGGTTCACATTCATCATTGACTTTTACAGTATTTCCATCTTGCACATGCTGTGTTTGTTTCCTAATTCCTTTGCTTTCAAAACAATCTCCCCCTTTTTTAGGGTCAAGGAAAAACAAAATCTGTACCCAAAGCCCTTTGTCTCGTTTTGCAGTTTACATTAGCAAAGCACGATTAATAATGGTGGTAAAAGCTGTACTCTCATAACAGATATTGCAAGAAGAGAATCATCTGCCCAGATAAGCACTGCTCAGGCAAAGAAAGGGGGAGGGATATGATACAGAGACAGTCTGTAATATGGAAAGGTTGTTAAGAAAATATGTTTTTTTCTATAACCTAAAAGTAGCAATATACTGAGTCACAATAATAAGGAAACAGATTATAACAATTTTTCTGCTATTTTCAGCAAAAACAAAGTTGATTTGCTTGAATGCAGGCAAAAGAGAATGAACATTTATCAGGAGGCTTTTGGGGGATTTAAATGATTAATACAGTCCTTTCTTTTTTTTTCCAATTTCTTTCAAGCGTGGATGTTGGCAGATCTCCAGAGCTCCCCTACATTTATGTGAATGCCTCTGGGACCATCAAGAACTACAAGCCCATCCAAGTAGTGTCTGCCTGCCACTTAGAAATGTACGCTTTTCCCTTTGATAAACAGAACTGCACTTTGACCTTTCGAAGCTGGCTCCACACAGGTACAGTAACGTAACAGCAGGACCTCATAAATAAAGACAGAGATTAGAAAGATGGATTGATAGACGTATAAATAGACAGACCTGTGATGCATTCTGCCTTGTGCCCAGTGCTTGCCAGGATAGGCTCCCCCATGACCCTGTATTACAGTAGATAAAGCAGTTAGAAATAGGATGGATGGCTGGATAAATAGACAGACATTGGCCACAAGCAGCCTTTTAAAGTTACTGTTGCTGTTTCAATTGAATTCTGTCTGACTTTTTCTTATGCACATAATGTTATTATGTATTCCCACTTTATGTGACTAAATCCTTCAGGGGGATGATAAGCAATCAATCAATGCCTGAATAATACAGTGCAATATTCCAGCATATAGCAGTCTACAGTGCAGTTTGAATGGCAGTGTTCATTGACGCTGTCAAGAACAGTCTCATTAATGCAGTGAGCAGATATTTATGTAATCTGTTTTGTCTGAGTAAAGTGAATGAAGTGGATTTGGTGTTATGGAGAAGTTCTGAAGAAATTGCAACTGACAAGAGGACCTTCATGAATGATGGAGAATGGGAGCTCATCTCTATTCCTTCTAGATATGAACAGCTGTATATGGAAAACAAGGAGTATGCACAAATTCAGTTTAATGTGAGTACAAGTACTCTGCATGTAGACATATTTAATCTATGCTCCAAATCGTTGTGTTTTCTTTCTTCTCTTTTCAGCATGGAACAAAACTTTATATCACCTATTACTTATTCTGAAAAATAATGACAATGCAGCAGTCTAACTTTTAAGTCAATAGGTCAAATAAAAATGCTATTTACTCTATAGTGATAAGGTGGGGTTTTTGGATTGCATGAGCAGTAATATTCATTGAGACAACACAATACTGAGCTTTCATAAACACGTCTGGTGCTAAGTGCCTTTTACTTTTTTCACATTAAAATTTAAAATAAAATTGAGTTCAGTTTTAGAAACACTATACACTTGGGGCAGTGGAAGTGTGATGTTGGAGATAGGAAATGTCCTTTAACACAAGAAGGCTTTGGTATAGATTTATGGCAGCCTTAATCTGGCACATTGATGAAGTCCTTGAACCAAAGGACTTGAGACAATACAAAAGTGTGGATTTTCCAGTGAGACAATGCAAGACCACACAGTCCTAGGACTACAATGACATCACTTCAATAAAACAGTGTCAAGAACGTGTGAGCGGCCAGTATGAGAGAATATCTGCAGAACCAACTCACAACTACCTACAGTAAAAGACAACTGTGATTGTCCAGCTTTCTCTATCTTGCTACACAGGAATAATAGAAATATAGCCAGCAGCCATATCACCCTGAAGGTCACAACTGGCAACTCACTGAAGCAAAGCAGGTGTGAGCCTGGTCAGTACCTGGATGGGAGACCTGGGAAAAACTATGGTTGTTGCTGGAAGTGGTGTTAGTGGGGCCAGCACGGGTCGCTCTAACACTGTTATCTGTGTGGGTCCTAATGCCCCAGTAAAGTGACAGGGACACTATATTGTAAAAAAGTTGCCGTCCTTCAGATGAGACTTAAGACTGAGGTCCTGACTCTCTGAGGTCATTAAAATCCCCCACCCCCCACCCCCGCCCTTGTTAATCATGGCCTCCTAATAATCCCCATCTCTGAACTGGCTTCATCATTCTGTTCTCATCCCCACTGATAGCTGATGTGTGGTGAGCGTACTGGTACACTATGGCTGTGGGCACATCATCCAGGTGGGGGCTGTACACTGGTGGTGGTGGAGGGGATCCCCATTACCTGTAAAGTGCTTTGAGTGGAGTGTCCAGAAAAGTGCTATATAAGTGTAAGGTATTATTATTAATAATGATAATTAGTATTATTATTAACATTCCACAGCTGTCTTTTCAGATGCTGATCTGGTGCCACAGCACTGCCAGGATTCTGTAAATCCTCAGGCTGGAAGGTCATACCCAATACCAACTCTCTCTGTTTTCACTTGGATAGTGTGGCTTGTTTTTTATACCCCATTACTAAAGTATTTTGCATATATATAAAATATATATATATATTTATTTTAATTATGCCTCTAGAGCTTTCTACGTAGGTTGCCCTTGTATCCAGAATTCGGCAGGATAGTGACAATAACTATGCTTTTGAACATCAGTTTTAGAATACTTTTAGTCCTGTAAAAATGAAAAAGGAAAGTTTAAGTGTGGCAGAAGAACACTGAATATTGTCTAGATGATCAACATTCGTTTGTTCACAGGAACAGTACTGTGATAAGGTGATTATAACTTCACTTTCACTTTAACAAACGCGCACTGTTACATATCCAGACTGCCAATATAATGACAATGTAAGACTCATTAAACAGATTATTTCTACACTGCATGCACGTTTCAGTCCAGTAAACAAATTATGCATCAAGCTTTAGTCATTAAGCCAAACTGCAATCACATACTGCCGGGTCAATTTTAGAAGCCAGGAGCCTATTTTCTGCTGCAATGCATCAAAAAAGGGTAAGACTGCACAACATAATCTATCATGTTAAAGGCAGACCCCATTAACACAATAGTTTCCAGAAACCATCGGAGGTTTCTTGATAAATTGTGCTCTTGATTGAGTAACCTTCACTGCGCGAGTTAGCCTAGTGCATCAGAGTGGAGGTTGCAGGTCGCAGTGCTGGCAAGGAAGTGCGATTTTTAAAAATGCAAATCTAAGGATTTAAATAAGCAAACACACACATCCATGTATGCTTAAGAATAAAGATGATAATGGACAATTGCTCTCTGTGGTTACACTGTGCAGCGTGTTGTGTAAAGTTAACGTTCCAGATGACCAGTTTCCCTTGCTGCCTGGTGCCCCATGTGGTAACGCTATTGCGAGAAACTCTGGAGGAGAAATCAGTTGTCTTATCACCATGATGGTTTCAGGAGAACACATTGTTACCTGCATCATACTGAAGAAAACTGGGCCAGATAATGATACTAGTCATGAACTTAATAGCTTAAATATAATCACAACAAAAAGAGTTACGAAATAACAAATTTGACTGAAGGTAATGAGTGTTCTCAGAAATGGTACCTTTTAAATACTTTTTCTTCTTTGTAAACTTGGACCCAGTTCATATCCTGCAATATCCTGTTTAGCACATCACAGTGTACAACGTACAACATCTACAGTACAGTTTACAGAATGAGCAAGTCCAAATACATTGTATAATTGTTCAATCCAATTAACTGGCAAAATGGAGAGATATCCACGTGCAGCCTTTTTGTATTTGATTCCTTCATAGAAGAAAAAGATGTTTTGCCTAGCTGCTGCGTAACTTGTCATTAGTTCTGCTTGAGGCCGTCTGAAGAAGAGATGACAGGGGAGGTGAAATAACCTCTAGTCCACGGGTCATTCCCTGAGCCTTGCAGATCTAGACAAGTAAAGTTGGCACTGGCTGTAAGAGCATTATCTAACAACCTCCTTTTGTGCATAACACAAAGAGAGACCAGGGTAACTACAGCCTCGGCCATAACTCACTGCTGTAAAACCGATAATACTCTTCCTCTTCTTCTTCTACAGGTAGTAATCCGCAGACGCCCCTTGCTGTACGTGGTCAGCTTACTTATCCCCAGCATTTTCCTGATGGTTGTAGACGTGATAAGCTTCTACTTGCCCCCAAACAGTGGCATGAGAATCACCTTCAAGTCCAGCATCCTGCTGGGCTACACGGTGTTCCGAGTCAACATGTCTGATGAACTTCCAGCAACGGCTACTAAAACACCACTCATTAGTAAGTAAAGCAGCTGCCAAATTCAAAACTCAGAACACTTTCAATAAGTGTCAATCATGCCCACGGTGGAGGACTGATATCAAATTCGGCTTGGGCCACCAGTGAAATGGCACGATCCTTCCTCACAAGGCAAACAAATTCACATCAACAAGACAGATGGAAATTCAAACTGAACTATTTTGTCAGACCAGTATGACAAAGCACTGTGTCAAAGCTACTGCTGCTGTCCTCATCTAATTCATTTCTTCAGATGCAAAGAAAATCGTCATTTCTTGTCAGTATGCTGTGCGATGCATATTTCAAGGGAGACAGAAGCAAAGACACATGGTAAAACATGGAATTTACTTTGGAGAATGCACTGAATAGATGTTTTTGTGCGACTGGGGTACAATTGCACAATATCAAGCCTTTTGGATGGAATTCTCTTCTTGATTATTAGTTTGAAGCTAATATGCCAGCTCTGTGTAAAGATTAAAAGTGTGGCAATGTCGTTGTTATTGCAGGTATATTCTTTGCTGTCTGCATGGTCCTTCTGGTTCTCAGCCTGGCGAAGTCCATCTTAGTTGTCAAATTGCTGCATCACAATGATGAAACCATGAAAGAGATGTCAGTGTCTGCTTGCCTACTGGACAAGTTTGGATCCTCCAGCCAGAGCGTTCTTGAGAGCTCCTTCACTTCTGTGAAAACGCTAGATGATGTAGATCAGTGTGGAGGTAAATATGGGTTTCTGCGAACTCAAATGCAAGGCTGGTTATTAGGTAATCTCTTGCAAGCTTGCACAGTAGTAACATATATCGAGTGTGAAGCAATGCATGGATACCTCTGTTATTAAAAACATTTTGTCATGATGTACAGATCAAGGATATCGTGCTACATTGTGTAAACAATAAGGAAAAGGAACAATTAACTGCAATGAGGTTACAAGTGTCTGCAGAGCCATAAATGAAGAGATCAACAAGAGATAACACTAGATTGACTGAAAACGGCAGAGAATCCTTTTTATTTTAAAGACAAATTCTAAAATTCCTTAAAAACTAAAAATGATAACTGGGGGAGTTTTGGAAGGTTTTCACTCCAAAGGTAAATTTTATCTTGCTTAGGACATAGCTGTGACCATCAAAATAAAAAAAAAATAAAAGGCTGGTTTTCTACTATTAGAGCTTAGATATATTTTAGCCTGTTTTCAAGGTTAAACTGAGGATCATTTTCATCTTTTAAAGGTGTAGTTCTTGTACCCAAGTTAGAAACCTTAGGAAGGTTTCCTGATTTAGCTTTTCTCTCTCTTTTCTTTATATACTAGAACTGTGATATCTAAAGGATGTACTGTATTTCTACAGGCCCTGTCACAGTGTTTCAGGAAGTCAATTTATTTTGTTTCAGGCTACGACTTTGACTTTTCCCCAGAGGAAGAAGAGGAAATCTCCTTCCACAGAGCGCGAGACAGCTGTCCTATGTTAGAGAAGGTCCTGCAGGAGATCATTTCCCTCAAGTATTACCTGTACCAAGAGGACGAAGCTGGGAACATGAAGTCGGAGTGGTTGGGCCTGTGTTACAAAGTGGACAAGATCCTGTTCCGTCTGTATCTGTTCATCCTTGGCATCTACACCAGCACTCTAGTTTTCCTTTGGATAGCATGGAGCTCCCCCTAAAGGCAAAAGAAAATATTTCATGTGTAGGTATCTGGATAAAGGTTCCTACGTCTTTTAAGTCATGCAAATTCAAAATGTAAAGAGAATGTGCTTCTCAGCTGGAAGAAAAGCCCCACATGAAATCCTCTAGGGGACAGTATAATTTTGCCCCTGTCGAGTAAAGGTTATTTTGTTGTTGTTTTTTTTACTTTTTTATTAAAACAAAGCTGCCTTCAAAAAAGACTTAGGCTTTTACATAAAAGGGATGAAATCATTCAAAATGCTTTGTTATGTAGGCTCATTGAATGCAATATTCATTAGCTAATCACAGACTTTACTCATTAGAGATGAATCAGACTGGCAAGGGATAATTTCTTCAGTATGTGAAACCTATACAATTGTTAATATCTTCAAATAAAATCCAGCTTCTCACAAAAAAAAATAAGACATACTGTATTGTTTTCTGTTCAGCCTTGTTTCCCTATAAATAAAACTTATTTAATAAATTAAGTTCTATCTTCATTTAATTTGTAAAAATATCCTCTCTAGTAAATATTTTTGTACGAATAGTATTAACCACTAGTGGACTGTTTACATTTGGATTAGAATTGCAGTTGGATTTCACTAATGAATAAATAAATACTCCACATCAAGCTTCTGTTTATATGTTTTCTTTGAGCATTTTGAGGAGTTATCACATGTTGTAAGCTGTAAGCTCCAATTCAGCATCAATTAAAAGGGAAGGTTTATACAGTATTTGAACTTCAGTGAAAATTCTACGGGAGGTAGAATCCTAGGTGTGACTGTTCACAGACAGTGGATGTCTTTAGAACTAACAGGGAAACATGAACCAGAGGACATGAATGACACTAACTACGTGGAAGTGCATTTAAAACTGAGAACAGAAAGCCATGCATTACACAAATGGCTTTGGGAGGCTGGAACAAGTTACCCAGTCATGTTGCTGATCCAGAGATCTCACCCAGTTCACTACCAACTAGGCTAGATGGGTTGAATGGCCTTCTCTCTTCTGTCACCGTATGTTCCATTGTTTCTTTCACACCTACAATTACAATTAAACTGCAATTTTGCTATACTTCTGACACTTTTCACACCACCTGATTGTTTTTACTCTGAAAACAACAAACAAAGCTATTTCATTTCAGTCCTCGTTTTTGCATTGGAGCCATTTTTTAAAATGTAATTAGTTGACTTCATAAACTAGCCACGCGCTTCACTGAAGGGGCACCTGGGCGAATCACTTCTATTAATTTAATAAAAAAGTTATTACGGCAAGTCAATGATGCATCAAATTGCAAACGATCAATAGAAACTTATTTTTTCCTGAATGCAAATCATATCAAGTAATCTAATTACGACAGCTCGGATGGTCTGTTTATCTTTCTGTTGGTTTGACATAAGTTTAAATGAATCTGTCAGGAATTGAGGCTAATGGGACAATAAGCAGCAAGTCAGAGGGTTCACAATACCAGTGTTGGTTTCAGAGAGCTTTTAGTAACACTATCTCTTCAGAAAAGGCAGCTGTTCCATCATTTGATTGAAAACAAAACACTGCTTTTGATTTTTTTTTTAAAACAAAAAAGATTAGGTATATCTGTTGATACCATCTGTCAAATCCCTACTAAAAAACATTATCTTTTATTTTCAAGATCAATGTCAGGATGCCATTCATACTTTGCAAAGGAAGACAAAAACAATTCACTTTATCCAGTCAGTTCCATTCCCATTACTTTTCATAGTGTAATGTTTCACTGGAATGAGAGAATTACACTATTATGCCATTTTTCACCTATCAACCCTAATTATGCAAAAATACATTCCTGATTCCTTGCATTCACCTACAAGAGAGACTTGTTTTCTGTTAAAGATGTGACATATTTAAAAATGCATACAAGTAAAAAAAAAACTAAGCTAAAAGTAGAAATTAATAATTTCCTCAGCAGAAGAAAAAATACTCTGAAAGTCAAACAATCCCCTCAAGTTTTTTACAGAATTTGTGAAGATATATCCTCAGTAACTAGTCATCATGAGTTAGTGATGCATACAAGACTGTGTTCACAACAGATTGTGTTCCTCATAATATTTACAACAGATACATCTACCAGTGAGTCACGGGCTTGCTGACTGTCTGTAAAATGAAATCCAAGAAAATGTACTTCATTTTACATTAATATATTCCTTAAATTATAAGAAATAATAACTCAGTGAAAAAATATCTTCAACAGGAGTTCAAAATAATAAGTTAAAAGGTAAATGAAGGAGTTACATACAGTATGTGTATTTTTATTTGTATTTTTGTTTTGGATTTGGCGTGGATAAACTAGATAGTAACAATAATTAGTTAAATGGTGTCAACACCATGCCTACAGGTTAAAATGAGAATTCTTCCTGGTTCTATCACAGATTAAAGAAGTAACAGGTACATACCAGCACTTTTCTGAAATACAAATTAAGACCGTGCTTTCAAATATAACTGGCATTTTTTTGTCAGTGGGTCCCAAACTGTTGTTTCTGAACAAGCATTCCCCATTTATTGTGTACTTTTAGTCATGTGTGCTTTTTCTCAAAGCTCTGACTTCTACTAGAAAATCTATACTATGAGGCTGTATACTCTTTTTTTAACTTTGTTCTTATGGAAAGAAGCATAAACCAATTATATTCCCTGTATGTTGTTCCAGACATACAGTATATGTCCTCTCGTGCCACAAGCCCATAGTAATACCAAGTACACAATCACTCATAAAAGCTACAGAAAGTAAACTGTAGTATATCCATTTGCAAACCACAATATAACAATTTCCACTTAGCAATTACCACTGGGAGTTTTATTTTTATCCACCATTTTTCAGATTCTGTGCAAAGCGACTACAAGTCTCCAAAAAAAAAGCATTAAACACATGACAGTGCAAACGACGCTTTTTAAAGTGTCAAAAAACAATACTTTCCAAAGACAAGAGGAGCAAATTAATTGCATAACAACTTCAAAGGCAGACTTATAAGCATTGTTGACACCTAATGATCCTGTATCACTGATCCACATTTCAAACTGAATGTGAAAACTGTATTTGTCATTATCGCCTTGGCATTCTCAACGATAAGTGTTTTAAAAGACAACCGTTAATTGGTCTGTCAATCCCAGTGCCATAATTCATAGTGAATGTTCTTCCTCACATTGGGAGTGACATAACTGAATAAAAAGAAGTCGTGTGTGTGATATGGAGGTGGTTTGTTGTGTTTCAGATCTGGAGCGAGATTCAGAACATTTATTCATTTGTTTTTAACAGTGCCCATTGTGGCCAAGGGACAAATCACTTCTGGTAAGTTGTCCACCATGGCAAGGAACCTTATGAAAATTTATAGCAGCTCTGAGAAGTCATCACATCATTGTAAATTTAACTATAAAGGAAGATATAGTCCAGAGTCACTTTGTCTCATTATGTGGAAAGTTGATTTGAGTTCAAGAAGTCACGGAATGTCTTGGGCCATTTAATTGTTCAACTACGATTTATTATACCTTATCGCTCAATAATTATTATACTTTATCAGCTTTGCATTTTGCTTTGAAGTACCATTGTTCAGGAGCTTATCGAAATGGATTGCTTTTTCTCTGTGCTTTGTTTTTCTCCTGTAATCACAAATATACCCTAACAACCCTAAAAGCGACACCAGACATACACAGGCTCATGAATCTTATCTTGTACTTATGAGAGTTACATCCGAAGGATTATACAATTTAGTCCATGTTTTATCTTTGAGATATAATAAACTAATTAAAAGTTTTGCTATCAGAATTAAGCAGGCTTAATTTTCATTGAAAGTTTCACATTCAAAGCCTTGAAGTCCTGACAAATACCTCAATTTTAAACCATCTTTTTTTCTATTTTTTTAATAACACCCCATTTTTTCAGATATTCAAATCCTCATAATTAGAATACTAGATCTTGTAACCACTAATTATCATTTAAATTGAACTGTGAGTTTTGTCAAGGAAGTTAGGATGTTGTTTCTTAACCCACCTGCCTGTTGTGCTGTTGTGTGATCACCACAAGCACAATTTCTGTAAACGACTTTGCTAATCAATACCCTGGAGGGTTGTGCTAAATATTTTGTAGATATGCCATCTACGCTATCCAAAGGAGTTTATCCTGTCTCCTTCCTTATGCCCGGCAAAAATGGGCATAGGTTAGGAGACACCATGGGCAGTATGCCAGTCCACTGCCTGGCACACACAGACACAGACACACATGCTCACAGTCTTTGGACTGTGAGAGGAAACCAGAGCACCTGGAGGAAATCATGTGAACACAGAGACAACATACAAACTCCACACAGATAGCACCTGCGAGGTAACAATACTAACCACTGCACCAGCATGCTGCTTCATTTAGCAGCCCCTGCTTAGGACTTTAAAAAGTTTGAAAATTAAAAAGAGCTTGGCAGAGGCTGCGCATCTAACATTTAAGCTGAACATTCCCAGATCCTCATTTTCCCGCTAGGTCACCCATTCAGATGATTTTACATATCAAACGTACGTGCATAAAAGTCTTTCAAAATACCACCAATGAAAACAAAAATATGTGGCAGCGGGTTCAACAAACCATCACCTTCTAAAAATTCCTCTATTTTGTTTTTACCAGGCAAGTCAACTGGGTACTGACTTGTACTTACAGTAACCCAGAGATGGGATTGGGTTCCCTGGAGGAAACTTTCTTGTCATTGAAATCAAATTCACTTGTCTTAACCATTAGGGGAACAGCAAAGGTATGATTGATTGATACAGCTGTCTGACAACGTTACACCATATTACTGTTTATCAGTGGGTTAGATATTCTTTACAAGGAAACAGCTGAATGTTTCCATTTTTTTTCCACACTGAAACGTAAAACAAACAGAAGAACTCAAAGTTTGGCTGTGGAGTCTTCTTCAGGTGAAAGACATACTTCCCTGGGAATTCGTCTCCCTGATTTCTATACTGTATGCTTAGAACTCCTTTCTCATTTTCCCCATCCGTTCTCAAACTTTCTTTTTTTGTCTTTGATCCACAAATTCCTGTTTTTTTCCCCATTCCCCATACCTGAAGAAGGTTCCACAGATCAATATACAATATAAATACTGAGCACATACACATTTCAACTGTATCCAGAAAACTTTAGAACACGAACAATGTGGTATTGTATAATTTAATCTTAGGCAATTAGGTCTACCATACTGTGTCATTATCTACTGTAGGGTATTATTACTTATATTAAATACTTATTATCATAAAATAAAAGCAGAAAACTGCAACTATGCATGTTGAGTTACTTTTTTTTATCTAGCTATTACTATTATTAAAGCATCTTTTCAAGACATATTACAAAAAACAATAAAAATTGCAGACATACTGTACAAGAGCTAATCACCTCTCACTACAGAAACGCTTTTGCTATTGCAAGTCATATAAACAATATTTTTCTTTGCTTCTCCCTTATAGCCAAGGAGACTTCCAGTCGACCAGTAAACTCCAAAAACTGGTTAATAATTTGCAGTCCTCGATCAACTTAATCAAGAGACAGGCTAACTCCCACAGAACTCCACTGGCGCACACCGGATGTTCTGCCAGTTAATTTTATTAGAGATCATAGGAAATAAACCGGGCTTCAGTTATTGGGGTTTTCAATTGCGTCAACATTTGTAAGAATGGTCCTAAAGCTCCATAGACGAAGGGAAAACTATGTGATTAATATTTCCCATGTACAAACAGGCTCTTTAAATCTCATCATTGGTCTCTATTGTGACTAGAAGGGAAAATATTTATGTTGAATGACCCATTCTCAACAGACAAGAGATGGTACCAGTACCAGACATGTAACTTTGCCCGTAAAAATCAGATTATTTTTTCTTTTAAAATGTGTTTAAGTATATAATGGATGTATGCTTTATACATCTGTATAAATGTCCCTGTGTTCCAGATAATACTACCACTCGAGGAAAAACAACAACAAAAATTATATAGGATGCAACAAACAAAGAGGGAATTTCAGTACTTGAGCCATTTCTGAATCAAAGGCATTTTATACTAAAAAGGTTTTTCTATTGCTCATAATTGCAGTCATCTAAACATTCTGCCTACATAGGCACAATCATAGAATTCAGACTCACTCCAAAGGCATGCACTCTCTGCCAGTTTACATAATAAATCCAAACAAAATTTTGTTCAGATGGGAAATTCATGAATAAAATTGAAAATCCAATAACGTATGCATTCTGTCTGCCTTTTCTGGGGGGTGGCATAAAAAATATATATATTTGCACTGATTTAACATAAATTAATCCTAAAACGTTTGTAGGTTTTAGCAATTTATTGCCTTTTGGTTGCAGACTGTGAATGTTGCACTTGGTTAAACAAGCCATACCCTCACTTAGTCTCTCCAGCACCGATAGAAGATAAACAAAATGAGGAAACCCAGACAATTTAGCTATGAAGAAGCAGTGTTATCTGCAGTCACATCTATAAATTACATTACTGCCCAAGTGACCGCTAACGTTCTTCCTGTTGACATCTTCACTACTTTACAGCTATCATTCAAGCAAACAAGCATCGGATTTTTCCCATAAGCAAAGTGCACACTAGATCAATAGATGACAGGACACTGGCCTGAGCAAACCATACACCTACAGTGTTCAACGTGACATCAGCCTCCTGGCTTGAAACATGAGACTAACAAGGCCTGATTACGAGATTGATTAATTGTTTTAAAACTGTAAACTGCGAGACGAGCGGAGCCTAAAGAGTAGTGTTGTTTTGGGGCACTTTAATGAAGACAGTCGGGCGGAGACAGGCTGTTGAGCTTACTGCACAACAGAATGCGTTAACATGAGCCAGGACTTTGGACGTATCCTGCTCGCAAAAATCCTCCAATGCAAAATGAGATATCCTGCATTATGGACAACACTTGCTCTGCTTCTGCTCTGCGCACAGTCAGCTCGCTCAGGTAATTCATGGCAAGTTCACTACTTGGAATTAAAGAAAAAAAAATATTTTAATCGAGTAAATCAAATAAAAAAAAACGTAAATCTGAAATCATTTTGACGATAGTTCACAAAATATATTCAATTAAACCAAAAGTACTTAGATGAATGCTGGGTCAGTAAATATAGACCGAACGATATCAGATTACGGTATCATATATTGTCTTTATTTTACTTTCAGGGCGTTTCCCTTTTACTTTTTGATATCCATTTGAAAGAATCATTGCTATTTTGTAAGCGTCGTTGTTTCAGTTGTCGTGATAACCATTACATTACAAGGACAAGGCATGTTAAGAGAAAATGTTAAAACAAAAATAAAAGCGCAAGTTACTTTACAGTTATTGTAGTCACACAGTATAAACTGCTGAGACTTTCCCGCATCACATCTGGTCGAGCGCAAGAATTGTAAATGAAAATTCAACGTTTTCTATTATCTCTTTTCATTAGATTAATATATTAAAAGAAACATTTTTGTCGATTTTTGTTAGAAGGACGCAAGATTGATTTTATGTTAAAGAAATACAGTATTTGCTGCAGCAACGTGCCTTCCCTTCAATACAAGCAGAAGATAAACTTCTGCAGCTTTTCTTTACGGTTTTCTAAAAATGGAAGAGAATATTGCATTCGACTTGGTTGTGTAATATTAATATACCACTAATACGATTGTTTTATTATTTCAGCGAATAAAAACTGTGAGTGTGGGATTCCATTATGGGACTGTAGCTCAAAACACATTTCCTAGAACTGATTTAAGTTGATACTATAATAAATGTTTTCATCTTGCAACAGAAAGAAGTAACCGAGAGCAATTGCATTTGCGCAGGGATAAAATCAATACTATGTTACTAATCTAAAGGACTTGGCTTTTACTAAAGACGGCGAAAACTTCAGCAGGAGGGACTGTTAAACTGGAAAAAGCAGAGGAGACTGAGCTGTGCGAGATCAAAGCACATTTGTAATCATAGCAATTTTTCAGTGAAAAACGTGGTCAAGTCAGTAAAGAATGTATTATTGCTGCTTGAGAAATGTATTTGTGAGCTTACCATAACGACAGGAAAAAATGTTACCTATAGTGAGCATGTGCATCAATGGGCTTAAAACACTTTTATTATTTGCTTTTCATCGCCAACTACTGCCAATACCACCCGCAATACTACCATTGTAACTACTAGGAGTAGCTAATTGACATAAAAGCGGGTCATTTAATGCATCTCAAATTGAGCAAAACACTACAGGAACAAATACTGTTTTACATGTAGCACAACTGTTGTTTGTTGTGTGCATCCTTACCTTAGGGAGACGAATAGGCAACAACCCGGGGCGATTTGCCAACGCAACCTTAGTTCGACTCTCTGACTATCTGATGACCGGCTACAAGAAAGGTGTCCGTCCTGTGAGAGACTGGCGCAACTCCACGATGGTGGCCATTGACTTCATGGTGTACGCCATTCTGAGCGTGGTGGGTGGAATAATACTTTGTTTTTTTCGTTGCTTGATTCCTAAAGACAGAATGGACATGGAGAGGAAGGAGATGGTGAAAAGATTTTTCTTGTCTCTGAAATGTGCTTTCAAATCACAGCAAAGGAAGCCCAGCTTCCACAAAAATGCACATTCCTGTACAAATACCCTTATGTATACCCTTACGATTATATAAAGAATAATCATAATAATCGTTTCCTGAGATTATTTTTCACAATACTTTTTAGCATCAAAAGATTAACTCATCATAATGCTAGAAAAAATATGCAAACCTGCAAACATACTTGCTATACAAAATGCCTTAGTTGGATATAGCGTACTTGAAAACAAGAATTGAATGAAGAAAACAGTTTTTATGAATGTAAGAAGCAGCAAAGGCTGTAGATTTTAAGAATACAGCATGTTGCATTCATGAAACTATAGTATATAGTCACATAAAATGAGTATTCACTGTACACATACTGTACAAACTAAATTAGGAAATACAAGTATTCATTCATTTTTTAGGTTATGATTTATAGGTCTTAAATCTGAATTGCAGACTGTGGTGTAATATGTTCGGAGAGAATGTAATTGGCCAAAAAAATCCAGGAACCTTACTTTGTTGTGGACAACTTTGTTGTAATACAAAAGTAAAAAAAAACACACATACTGTATCTGCTAACACAAGTATATACCTTCACCCCTTCCCACCCTCCCTTACAGGATGAGAAGAACCAGGTTTTAACCACGTACATCTGGTACAGACAGGTAAGGGAGACATCAGTGGGGGTTTCAGACTTGAACTTGAACTGTATAGGATTTCTGCCTCTTCACATGATCCGATTTGGTTGACAAATAATTGCTTTATGCAGTTGTGGTAAAGGCTTCCTCTCTGCAGCACTTGCAGATACCTTACTGGCTTCTGCAATAAAGACAGACTGCGGCTGCTGTGAAAGTCCTTGCAGAGTGGGAAAGTACAGTAGCTTGTAATATATATTTGTATAATCAATGTGTGTATGTACTGTATATGTACATATTTCTGCATGTGTTATTATCGCCTTTTAATAATCATTGACAAGGAAAAGTAATCAGGCAAGATTATTATTCATTTAAAAACAAAAGATGTTTGCCTTTTCATTTGACCCTGCCTTAAAAACGTCTTGTATCTCTTTACTGCAAAGAAATGGGTGGATGAATTCCTTGTATGGAATCCCGAGGATTTTGACGATATCAAGCAAGTCTCCATCCCTACAAGCAATATTTGGGTGCCAGACATTCTCATCAATGAGTTGTAAGTGCACTGGCTCAAAATACTAAGGGGGCTTAAACTTACAAAATATGCAGATTGTTACGGAAAAATGAAACCAGGTTAATTGGGGAGCAATTAGTATCAGAGACGTACCAATGCTATTTTTTTTTAAGATTGCCTATCTCTGAGACTAGTCTGGTAGCAGGAATTGGCAGCTGGATTGAGAATCTCTAACCCCAATGCCTGTTTCCGCAGCGTGGATGTGGGAAAATCCCCAGATATCCCTTATGTGTATGTGGGTTATGACGGAAAAGTGCAAAACTACAAACCCATCCAGGTGGTGACAGCATGCAGCCTGGATATCTACAACTTCCCCTTCGATATCCAGAATTGCACCCTGACCTTCACCAGCTGGCTTCACACGAGTAAGCAACCATTGTTGTTTCATACGTCTGTCAAGCAACTGTCTTGTTAGACTCCCTTTGTTACGTCAAGTTTAAATCTTATAAACATATTTCTAATTTGTAATGTGCAACTACTGGAATATGCTGAGGTGCTGATTGTGAATTAGGATCAATTTATTGGCCATGTAAAATTTCTTGTATTAGGGATATTTGACTTTTTCCCACACCCCAGCTTGCTCTCCATGAGACACACAGACAGGGAGAGAAGCTTGGGGTCACAGCCCAGGGTCAGCCATTTATATGGCGCCCCTGGAGCAGTTGGGGTTAAGGGCCATGCTCAGGGGCCCAATGAAGTAGGATTCCTCTGCCGGCTGAGGGATACGAACGGGCAACCTTCCAGCTACAGGCGCAGATCCTTATCCACTGAGCCACCGCACCGCCCCAAACCAAGAGTAAAAGAACTATTACAATAGTTCTTCACATTTATATAGTCCTTTTCATCCTGAAAAGCACCAAAGTGCTTCAAATGTTGAAGGAGACCCCCTCTTTACACTGCTGATTAGCAGCCCCTCTGCACAGCGGAGCTGGTGAAGAAGCAAGAAATCACTTCAAACACTGACTTGGGGTGGGGGGGGTGCTTTAGGTAGACCATATTATGAACGCACAGGGCAGAATTTAGCCAGCACATACCCAGCCTCAAAAACAGTGTCACAGTATTTGGAAAAATCAGGAAATCAGAACTTCGGCTTATCATCTCATCTGCAGAACAGCACCACCTAAACAACAGTCTTCTCTGGCAGCATACTGGGGCAACGACCGGAAATTCGGGACAAGAGGAAAGAGCACAGCTTACTCAACCAAAAACCACTTGCAGCAACAATTTGGTTTTGCTCAGTGGTCTTCCATTCCAGGACTGACCAGGCTCAGCCTTGTTAAGCTTCTGAGATCTCGTGATATTAGGCTATTCGGTGGTGGTATGGCTGCTTCATTTCTGGGTGTCAGCTGTTCTTCTTCAAATGTTAGATTTTTGGTTCATGATAAACTCTTGTGCATAATGTCTAGATTTTTATGTGCGGTAAAAAATGAAAAGCACTGAAAAAGCATTTTCGTGTCATTTGACTGTTGGCTGTCCTGGACAGAAAGCCTTACTGCTAGCTTGATAGAACGAGACCGATAATATGATCCTCCCTAACTGTTTTGCCAGGATGTGACACAGGCTGAACTGAGATAACAACTCTAGCTGCATAGTCTGAAGTAATGCAAGATTATGATTAATTATGAGAAAGGCAGGACTAAAGCTTAACTTTTATGCTCTGCAGCTGCTGACATTAACATCTCCTTGATGAGAACCCCTGAAGAGGTGATGTCTGACAAGAATGTCTTCATGAACCAGGGGGAATGGGAGCTGCTTAATGTCCCGTCTCAGTACATAGACTTCAGCATTGACGGTACCGACCACTATGCCGAAATGAAGTTCTTTGTAAGCAACCCTACTCCTTTACATTTGTGTTACCCAGGCCCAAGAACTGTACTGTATACACCAGGTAGAGCAGGAATCAAGTGACAGACTAAGTTTTAAATAACCTTCAGTAACTGCAACTTAAATCTTAGGTCACTATGAACTGATGAGTCAAAAGAAAGGAATTTCAGTTGCTGAGGAGGCAAAAATATCTAATTTAAATGATTACATCAAAATGTCTCTTAGAAAGTGGAATTCTCAAAAAAAGTGAGGCACATTTAGAATAGTGCCATTGGGGATAGGACTGGGATTAATAATCCAAGGCTGTCTCAGTTCACAGTTAAACATTCTTGAGAGAAATACCTCTCCAACAAACAGCACTGCATCTCCTGAGTGTCACGTCAGTGCTTCTGCATCTCTGTGAGCCAGCTTGTACAGACACAGCTTGTGATTCCAAGTAAAGTGTTTACAGGATGAAGAAAAATGGGCAATTCTAAATTTAAAATTATCACAACTGAATAATCTTTGGATCTGTGTTTTGGGAGTTTTGAAAACACAACAGCGCTCATCCAATATTCAGTGCACACAAGAAGAAGCAAATCTTCCCCGTTTAATCTGCACCTGTGCTGAAAAACGGCGAGAATGCTCATGGCAGGACTCCACCCACAGGTCAGAATAATTCTGGTCCAGACCCAGGGCTAACGACCCCCATGTCTTCCAGGTTGTGATCCGACGAAGGCCCTTGTTCTATACTGTCAGCCTCCTGCTGCCCAGCGTGTTCCTGATGTTGATGGACATTGTGGGATTTTATCTGCCGCCTGATAGCGGAGAGCGGGTGTCCTTTAAGATCACCCTGCTGCTGGGATATTCTGTCTTTCTCATCATTGTGTCCGACACTTTGCCTGCTACTGCCATCGGGACGCCACTGATAGGTAGGGGGAAAGGGCGGGAGTCATCTGGGACACGATTAGGAGCTTTAGATCATGAGATTAAGTTTCCTGCCGCAGTGCTGCGCTCTATTATTGAGCTTCTCTAGCCCTTCGTCTGAGGAACAGGCGGCTCCAAATGAAATCCAAGGCAGGCGTTGAAAAAGCTTTCTCTGCTTATTTTATTTCAGTTTTACCTTTCCGCATGCTTACTTAATAAACCAAATTAAAATATAAAGCTCTGGAAGAATTTACTAAAGGGCTAATATTTGTGTACATTCCGAACAGCTTTAAGGTGCCATCACTTACATTTTGAAATCTCTTTTTTGTTTCTGCATTTAAAAGGTATTTGAAATATGCACTGCGTATATACCGGGACTTTAAGAAAGGGCAGATCATTTTGTTCCTGTTGTCATATCCACAGCACTGTGTAAAGGTGATACCTTCTGGTGCACAAATATTTATTTAGCAAAAAAGTCACCCCATGAAGTTTTTGGAAGCTAAAAAAGTAGCTGAAGTATAATAATCCATCTTTTTTCTTGAAAACTCTGTGTATGCAAAAAGCTGATGCAATTAAAGTACTGAGAATATTTTAGTTCAGCAAGTCAGTGTTCTAATAATGGATCTGTGCCTTAACAAAGGTGAATTTTGGGCCAATACTTTTGTTTTTTGGACTACAGGTGTCTACTTTGTGGTGTGCATGGCCCTCCTGGTGATTAGTCTTACAGAGACCATCCTGATCGTACGCTTGGTGCACAAACAGGACCTCCAGTCCCATGTCCCAGAGTGGGTGAAGCACCTTGTGTTAGAGAAAGCCACTGTGCTTCTCTGCATTCGCAACAAGGAAAAATTTGGCCCCATTCCTTCAAGGGGATGTGACATGTCCCGATTCAAGGAGAACAACATGAATACAGGTGGGTTCTCGAGCGGCGCGTTTTTTTTTTTTTTTAGAGGTGCCAAACCTCTTCAGCTTTTTTTCGGTGCCAGCTCTATTGCAGCAGAGAAATACTTCCTGCTGACATTCTTATTAATTGTGGATGTAGGGTGCATCCCAGATATGTAGGATGCATGCTAGATAATGTTGTTGTAACATATTAATAAAAGACAGCATGCTTTTGCTGGACATTGCGTTTGTTAGGTTGACAAAGGCTTTTATCACCGTTAAACCTTGCAGGCAAATTCAATCACCGCACTTGTGAGAATACCAGAGACTGTGAGAAGTCCATAGGCATGGCCCCACCTCTGAGAGACAATGCCCCAGTGGTGGACAACATCCTCCAGGAGATTTCGTCCATCCGCCACTTCCTGGAGAGGCGAGAGCAGTACAGAGAAATTGCCAAGGAGTGGCTGCAGGTGGGGTATGTTCTGGATGTGCTGCTGTTCCGCGTTTATTTAGTGGCTGTGCTGGCATACAGCATCACACTCGGGACTCTCTGGTCAGTGTGGCAATATGCCTGAGCTTGAGAGCTTTGGAAAAACCAGCGTGTGGGCCTCACGTAAAGATAACCAATCTGATTTTGCTGAGGGTGGCCTTGAAAACCTCCATGCTTACCTTAATAAGGGCCGCCCCCCCCCCACTCCCTCTTCACAGGAAGTGAAAAAAATTCCTCCGTCTTTCGTCTACCACTGATAGAGGTCTCACACAACGCACTGTAAGGAGGGGAAAACAAGCGTTTAATTTTTCACTCCACAACGTTGGCTAATAAACCCACAAGGTCAACAAAAAAACAAACTGTGACTGTTTTAGAGAAGGGCTTTACTGCTAAAAACCGGACAAGACTGTCGAGGAGCCGACATTAGATTTTCCTTTGCGCCGCGCAACAGCTGCTCTCCACGGGGTTAGCCTGCTCTTCATTTAGACATTTCTTGTGAAAGAACACAACGAGAATCAAATCGGATTAAAACAATAAAACGAATACTTGTACATGCAAAAAAAGAGAGGTGGCTTGTGCTTTTGTATAGACAATGGTAGTGTGCTTTGGTGTAGATTTTCACGGGAAAGCCTTTATAAAATAAACCTCAGTAGCTGTGTAGTGAGAATGGCCCATCTCTACAACAAAAGCTTCTAGTCATATTCATATTCTGGTTTGTGACATTTGGAAAACATGTGAATGTACTGTATGTGGGACAATCTTTGTCTTCTGCCTTTTCTCTGTGTTATGTTAGACTGTAGTTGTGATTTTCTACAATAACAAAAAATTGATTCCAAACACTTCCATGGCTTTAGAAATTTAGACACAACCTAAGTAAGAATATAAAGTTGTCCTGAACGGCTATTTTAGTTAATTGGACAAAATCATTAAATCATTTCATACAATAGTGCATCTCATTTACTGTTTTAATAAGGAAAGGGAGAATGTACTTTATGGAAGTCAATTATTTATCATTTGCAAACCCTGTAAAGCATCTGAGCAATCACAAGAGAAAAGAAAAACACACTTTTGGAATGTTATAAAAGCCAGCTGAAAATAAAAGTGCAGGTGTGTCAACATGTGTTGACAAGATGTCAATATATAATTTAATGGCTGTGTGTGGAATTAATTTTACTGGTGGATGTCCACACAGTGGACTTTAAAAATATTGTATTGTTTTCTCCTGTGGAATCTCCCATGTATATGCAGGGTATTAATGTATTCACCATGCAAAAAGTCTTTTTATTCTTGAAAATGCCTTCTACAGGCAAATGTTATTAGGAAGTGTATTGAATTTATAGCTTTTACATTCAGCTTGTATATACAGTTGTAACTTCAGGCAATGTACTCCAGACTTGATAATCTGTATTCTTCTGAACCAGTTAGCTTTGCATTACACATCTGTGCTGCATTACTAACACTGCCACAGATACAATGGAAAAATTGAAGCAATTAATGGCCTCTGACCTGAAATAATCTGAGTTAAATTATGACAGTTTTATTTTTAGGACCATTGTATATGTCATATAACACTGTTTCTTATTATATGGAAATAAAATTTCATTTTACTCTAAGCCTTCAGTTGTGTTGTTTTTATTCTTCAGTTTCAGCAATAGAAACATTTGTGAACATCCTCATTATTCCTGTCCATGTGGACCAAAAAAGGATAATACACACCTTTTTTTAACAAAAAGGTTAATGCTACCTTCAGCAGCACATTAGATTGTTCTGCTACAGAATACAGGAAACCGATACTGTACACACTGTTTTTACACAAAAAAATGAACTGCTTTGTAAACATGACTGAACTATAAGACTCAATTAAACTAAAAAAAATCAGTTGCACATAGACCAACTTCATACAGTATATCAATTTAACGCTAACCTACTGACAGAACAGCTCTTTGTTATTTAATAGAAAACTTTTTAAAATAAAGAATATCATTTAAGGATCTGGATTACTGTCTGGCTCTTGTTCAAAATAGCTTTTAAACACTTTGAAACTGTGTCAAGTAAATTAAGGAATGATGGACAGATTAAAACACATACTTTTGAAGAACTGTTTTCCCCTTACAAAATGAACAAAGTGAATGAGGTAGGATTTATCATGTTTACGAGAGAGAAAAGGAGTTAATTGTTCAGCACAACGAACCACGCACCTGGCAAATTCAGCCTAATATACTACACTCTGCAGAACGTGCAAACACCAGCAAGGTATTTATCACTGCTTTGATTGTTCTTGTTTCATGATTGACACTAATGTACTACTTGTAATGATTTTAGCTTGCTGAAAATGCACTCAGTGGGCATGCAATGATTAAATAAATGCTATTGACAATGTGCATAATTAAAAAAAAATCGGTAAGACAGTAAATGGGACCATTGATTCCAGTTCAATCAATGCAACTTCACACTCAGATCCTTTCCAAAAGCTGGAAAGACCTGAAAATGCCCATTTCTTGTCATTTCAAGTAACTCCCAAACTAGACTATATTAATTGATCTAAGAATATGACTTAGTCCCTCTTTGATAAATATGAAGTGTTCTTCACAATACAGTTAAAAGAATAATAACAACCAACACCGTCAACAGAGCTGCAGGTGCTGAAATTTACCAGGTAATTTTAATGTACAGTATGCAACCGCTAACTGAATGTACCAGTATCACACTTTGAAGTTTCACCTATTAGCTGTATAGATTGTTCAGTGAAATCAACTGTGTATACTACTTTTGCATACATGTACGTTGATTTCCTTAAAGCGGCCATAGACAAGCTTGTAAAATTTACTTTAAAAAGTTTTTTCTGGATTGCTTTGCAATGTGCTGTATCTATTTTCCCCTCAAATTAGACAACCAAAGAAAAGCATGATCAAAATCAAGTAAATATGTGTCAGTAGGAGATTATGTTTTTATTTGAATACAATAAATAAACAACTGTATTTTGCTCAAAATACTTGAAAGAGTAAACTAACACTTTAAATGCTGCCACAGTATATTTAGAAAAGCGGGCAATACATTTTTAAATATTTTCCAAAGCTCTGCTGCACTGATAAAACTATATATTATACACATATAAAAAAACTAACTACAAGAAACATTGAAATAAACTGGAAAAACAGGAAGCTGACAGAAGTTAAAGGAACGAGACATCAAAGATCACTAACCTAAAGTGGCTAGGCTGTTGTTTTTGGACAACTGTAGTGATGCCTTTAAGTTAAGTCTTCAGTTAAATGGAGTTTATAATGAAAGTTCGGGAGGGATGACAACAACCAAATTCAATCAGACACAGTTGTCAGTAATTAGCAATCACTCCTGACGTCACTTCCACTCCTAAAACATTATATATACTGAACCAATTCCCTCCTTTCCCTCGCACACATCTTTCTGTATCCCATCTCCACCTCTGCAGGTGCCCCGGGTCACTCCTCACTCTGCAGGGGGTCCCAAGCTCCTCGTCCTCTGGCCAGGAGGTCAGCCCTCAGCCGAGCGGGTTAAGACAAATGTTAATTAAACCCTCCATCTTTTCATTACACTTAATTCTTGGGTGCTGTTATACCTAGTGAACAGAAAATATCACTAAGCAAATATCATGTGCAGACTTTGATATTTTTACATTTCACCGGGCATTGAAATCCAGTTTTGTTTTAAAGCATTCTTGAGAGTGATCCTATACAATGTGCCTGTTGAATCTAATGCTACAGGCCAAAAAATGAGCATCTGACCTCAGCCACACTTAACACTTTGGTCTGTGAAAGAGGTGGGGAGCAGTAATCCCTTTCCATGTTTCAAATGCTCATTTAAATGTATTAATTCATAGAGCGACAGAGATTATCTTAATTAGTAATGTCCTCATTTCAGATACAGATACTGTCTTTTCTTCAAGATAAAAGATGCAAATTGCAGTATTACTATGCCAACAGTGTCTCAAGCAGATAACGGAAAATTAATGGTTTGTTGCTGCTTTTTTCAAGCTTCTTTTTTTGTCTCAGTGGCATATACGAACACATAACATGCCTGCCTTTTAGTACAGTAACCCTTTCTTATCCATAAGCCTTTCCTATTGACACGAGCTCATAGTGCAGTATGCCTGGAATGTCCTTAAGAAGTTTCAGAGAGGAGTTCAAAGTGCAGATCTAACACAAGCTTGGTTTTTACTACACGTTGACAAATTCCAGAAGGAACTTTCAAATAAATATTTTTTATTTGATTTATGTTACAGTGACTTGTTTTAATCTCGTTTGTGGCTATGTAGTCTTTGAATTCTTGCAGTCGCTAGACACCTGGACAGGGGCTCTGAAATTCACACCATTCTGCAGTTGTAAGCAGAAGCACTACATTACTGGAAATCCATTGTAGGAATTTACAGAACATTTAGCATCTACCATGAACATAAACCATTAGATGCTTTAGAACAGGTCAAGTGTCTTAGAATTTGTATGTACGTCAGCAAAATCTGATTTTCTTTCATCAAGTAAGAACCTTCCTTATACAGTAGCTACTTTGACATTTTAGAGACGTTAAGCACTCTTGATAGCAAACTGGTGTACCCAAAGCATAGTACATCAACATAATATGACAGCAATACTGCACTAACATGCCTACAGATCAGACTGTCCTTTCCTGCAATGGACTAAATACATAAATGTATACAGTATATAAAATACAAGACACACCCAAAGAAGGCTCCACAACCAAAACGTTGTGTTTCTTTTTCTTTTCTTCTCTTTTCAGCATGGAACAAACCTTTACTTGTTCCTTTGCAGTCTATGAATACTGATGCAGCTACCTACTTGAACTATTTAAAATTTAACATATACAGTACATGGGCAAAATGTACATATTTAAACAATTAACATTGTTTAAATATGCCCTTGCTTCCTGCAGTGACAGAAATGTTCTGAAAGTATACAGTATATTTATTCTCAACCAGCTTGTGACAAGTTAAATCTAGAAGAATGTTATCCTCACTTTGAAAAAAAAAAGCTAATCCTTCCTCCCTCCCCAGAAAGCCAACACCCAAAGTAACACCCATCCTATCACAGGATGGGACCCCCGTCCACTGCACTCCGCACATACCCCCTGTATATTCAAGTGCACAGGAGCACACAAATGCCAGTTAACAGTCCCAGCATGCCTTTGGAAGCTGGGAAGAAGCCAGACCATCCTTTGGAGATGTCAGGATTTCCATCTGACACGTTTCAGCCAGTTCCATTTCTGGTTTCAAACTGTATTGCTAATTTAACCTCACTTTAGTGTCATCCACCCATCCGTGTTCTCACCTCTTCTCCAGTTCAGGGTCACAGTGGTCTGGATCCTACCCTCTAGCAACGGGCGCAAGGCAGGATACACCCTGGACGGGACACCAGTCCATCGCAGGGCAGACACACACACAGACTCACACCAGGCCCAGGCTTTTTCCCAAAAGCCACCTGATCTACCAGTATGTATGAGAGGAAACTGTAGCACCTGGAGGAAACCCACATGAACATGGGGAGAACATACAACCTACATGTAGATAGCACCATAGAAATTAAACCCAGGGCCCCTGCTCTATTGTGCCAACATGTCCCACCACCTTAGATTAAAAGCATATTTTTCTCTTCCTTTGGAAAGGGATGCGGAGCAATCTAGTCACTAATCTACTCCAACCTCAGTCCACATCACTCAACTAATACTTTAAAAAATGTAACATCATTCCCACTTTGGTACAGAAAATGTTACAGTACCTCCTTTCGGTGAGTGTTTCTTGAAGTCTGTATCTATTTTTTTTTTACACAGTTGTCCTTCATTTACTTTCCTCCTCCAAATCCAATAAAATGAAATGAGCTTTACCATTCACAGACCACAAGGGGGAAACATTTCTCTCGGAAACCGAGAAAAGCCAGTGTGTCAATCAAAAATCTACCTAAGAGAAAGAGAGTCTTGTTTTGTTTACCTGCTTGGCTCACATTCTGCCTTTTATGCAACTCCTAACATCACATGTTTATTTAAGATGCAGATTCTATTAATGATTTCTTTCTTGATGGATTTTGTCATTTTTTGCAACGGTCACCACCTGTATTATATTCAGATCTGACGTTTTCCAACAAAAAAGGATTATCGGTAACTTATCTGCTGTAGTGTATTTGTGTATTCATCATATCAGTGAAAGGCTCCATCAATTTAATAGACTAATTCTTTGTTAAAAAAGGACTATTTTTAGATGCAACAGTTTGGAAGGGTAAAAACAGAATTTTGTCTTTTTTAATTCCTGTCCAAAGCTTTAGCTGGCATTGGGAACTTCATAGAAGCAACATAGATCAGCTAAAACTCACAAAAGAAAGGGATCTGCTGAGAGCTACAGCCCCTGCCCATGTGTAGTGCCACAATTCAGTACAAACAAGGTCATCTATAAAATAACATTGCTTTGATTAATTGATATGTAGAACTATGTATGTGTGTGCTTGTGTCACTAACAGATTTTGAGGTAGTAATTTCTTAGGATAGCATATCAGGGCACGGTACAATGATAAACAAGCTAAGAGAAGTGCTATGTTGCTAACAAATAAACAACAAGGACAGTTTAATTTGTGCA